AGACATTTCATTGAGGATGAAAAGCTCTCACTTGTTTCTAGAGTCTGTTGAGCAGAAGTGTTATTTTGTGCGTTATCTAGCCTTGGCGCTCTATGTTGCTGATATTCCAAACGTGACGGTGAGGGGATTTAGAGGCTATTGAGAAACTGTGTCTCCTGGTATTTATGGAAAATAGAAGGACATGAGCGGGCTGTAGGATCTGCTTTCTTATTTTGAGTAACACATTTTTTCACAGTTGCTCCTCCACACCCACGTACTGCTTTGTTCCTATGATACAATTATTTTTTTACAGAACATCTTTTTAGTCACCAGCCAGCGATCTCTCGGGAGTTCACACCTTTCCCACAATATCTCCTTCCTATGTTTAGCAGCTTTTCATTTCTACAGCACATGTTCTGTCACAAAACCTGCAGAAGGAGCACAGAGGATACTGTTTGGTATTCATTACTGTTGGTACTAAATTCTCAGTTTTGGGTTCATTCTTGCCTCCATTTGAACTAATGTTATCTTTTTATATACATACTGATTGTATGTTAAGATGTTGTCCACATGGCACTTTAAAACCATAAAACCATAATGTAAGAACATCCTTCCAACGTGCTCTTGTGTTCAGCTCCTATTCCTTTTCACACTTGTCTTCTCAATCTGGACATCATCTTGATACATCTTTTGTAAGTGTTGAAATTTTTATCTTAGATACCTAAAAAATAATTTCTTGTCTCCGTTTGTTTCCTCTTAAAATTTGCACCATATTCAATAATTGATGGTTTTTCATGACTCATACCTTGTACGTGGCTTTACTTTGGATGCTTTTTTTTTATCATCCAGGTGCAACGGGGTTTGGCACTGAGACACACGCTACCTTGCTAGAGTGAGCTCACATGTGCAGGGTGTAACATCATTGCTATTTTTGTAGCAATTAAGAAGACAGATACCAAAATCTGCATCTACATTTTAAATTAAAAGACCTTCGCCTTTTAGGCTTTGATTCCCAGAAGAAGCTGCTCATTAGGAAAGCATATCTGTACTCCAGTTGACTGAACACAGATCAAAGTCTCTTAATTTATCTTAGAACGTCTCCCGTGACAGTAAGGAGAATGGCAGCATAGTCACTAGTGGCTCTCAGCAGACATCGTCATCAAAGGTGGTTTCAATCATGAAAGGTGCTTTCAGTAATGAAGAAGCAAGTGGTCCATTGGCAGTTGCTAGGCAACTGCATCAGCATTACTCTTGCAAGTCAAGAAGCACTGGCAGGGAGATTCAAAGGGAGAGACATGCAAGGGTATTTTAGCATGGGGGAGAAATGAGGGATTTACCAGTGCATGCAGTGAAGTGCACCTTATTTACAGCTTTATTACAGATGCTGATGGGGTCATGATGGTGGAACAAATCAACAATCAAGGGGCCACATTGTACTTGCTGAAGTTTAGCATCATTTGTAGGGATATTATGCAACATGCTGTCTCTTTGTGCCTCAGAGAAGCTCAGTGATGTGGGCCTGACGGCTGGGGCAGCATTTGCTCGTATGTTTTTCTGTGAATGGGATGGTTGGAGGATACAATAGGTCAGTTTTCCTGCATGAAATAAGGAAGGGTTTGAAAGTAGAATGGACTGGACAATATATTGTTTCAACCTTCATTTAGCAATCTATGCATATGCAATAATTACATTACAAATCATTCAATGTAATAAAGCACACTGGGCCCACAATTATATGCTTGATTTTACTGCTTAAAAATTAGTAAAGTCTGATTTTTGTGATTGATCTAATCGTCTATTTCTGATAACATAATTTAACCGGAGGCTAATGTCTCATTGCAATTATTCAGAGAGTGCACTGATTCATTAGGCATAAAAAATGAACATTAAGTGTCTCGTGGATTTTTGCATAAAACTTTGCAATTAGCACAGAGGCGGGAAGATGTTGATGAAGAACAACGTTTCATCTGTTGTTGTGAAGTGCTTTGTTTTTTTTTCAAAGTACTTTTTATTCTTTGCACATACTCCCACACTACTATGTACTATGTATCTGGTTAAAACAAAACAGTGTGCATGAAATAAGTAAAATAAACACCTGGATCAAATACAAATATTTGTACAATTTTGTTCCTTTTGCCATAAGGTCCAGCCTACATACATGAATTGTTGAGGCACACTATCAAACAGAGTCCTTGTCTTAGTTGTGAGAACCAGGTTTTCCTGCATGAATACCACCAAACTTTCCCTTCTCCTTTGTTTTTCTTTCTGCTGTGCCTCCTCCTGTGGATTGCTATAGAAAAGAGGAAGTGTAGCGCATCATGCACAGTGTGGGAGTCTAAGTGGAGTATTTGACAACAGAAGCCTCAACACCTCTGCAATTTCATGTGCGCATACCAATAGGATATGTTGTCATGCCTTATCATAAGTATATGACACAGAAATGCACACAGATGAACTGATTTAGTAGTTTTTTAAAGGTTTGTCCCTCTCATACACACAAGGAAAGCAGGACGTATGGGTCAGGAGAACAGTGTTTCAAGAGGTTACAGCTTTTTTTTGTAATTATCTATGAATCATTTCCTTTCTGTAATTTATTAGTCATTTAATAAGAGATGTTCTCCATTTGTTAAAATCAGCAAATCATCACATCACACATGCCAGCGCACTAGATAATTGGATATATTGACTCATCTGCTGGAAGAACTGTGATCAGTTAAACTGCTGTTTGACTTATCAAGTAATTGTTTTCAGCACAAATTCATCCAATCAACTTCAACAGCATCCTAAACTGAAATACAGTGGAATCAGCCCCAAATGAGAAAGTCCAACATGTTCTATAAAGTAGTTTTATTTTTTTGTAAGGCTGTTGTATTGGAGTGCTTTAGCAGGTACAAGTGTTCATTATATCGTGTCCACTCAGTCTGTAATCTGTTCAGCTTGGCAGTTTGACCTCTCTGAGAAAACCTACAGGATTTGTTTACATTTCCTCAGTGTAAATCTGCCTAACTGATGCTACACTTTCCAGAAGGTGGAAAACTGAGCACTTGAAGCTGTTTCCTGTTAAGGCTGATTGTTTTTTTTTTCCTTTTCAGGGGACAAAGCTTTCTGTTAAGCCCTTTTACAACATGCACTCCCGTTCCGTTAATCTGACAGCAACTGAACGTGGCAGCTTCGTGTCTAAAAGTGCACCCTGGTCACATTTCCATAGAAGTGGTACTGGGTCGGCCTTAGTAACTTATTACTTGTACACAGCACAAGTCCTAACTGCATCCAGCCACATTAAGGGATAGGCATGCACAAGCAATGCTTCTTTGAGTTGTGTGAAGTGATTTAAAGGACCATTTTCCACATTTCAGCACCAGCATTGCTCTAAAAACATCACAGAAAACACTTAAGGCAGTTTGTGTGCCAAACTCACCACATACCTTTCTTACTCACTTTGCATAGCAGCTGCCTCAGATTGAGTCCTGAGCTCCATAACTGTAGCTGTGTGGATATTTTCTTTTTTTTTTAGTATCATTACACATGGACAGAGTTTTCAGTGTTTATTAGGAAGTCATAAATAAACTAAGCTCGTGGTTATTTGGACACTTTGATAGCTGCTATTAGTTTAGATTACATCTGTTATTGCATTATCATGCATTATACATAACTTAGTGTTTGTTGTTTAATGTCATGTGAATGACAAATGTCACTTGCATACCGCAGCTCTCTCCGACGCTGTAGGGGGTTTGTCTGAATGAAACTGCTGAGAACATTAGTGGCATCTGTCTGAATGACAGAATGCTGTCACTTTAATGGACTGACGAAGCCTGTAAAGTTACAGATCCCAAGTCTGAAACAGCTGTAGAGATGCTGTCCTCATCCTGGAGAGAGTAGCTTAAAAATTGCTCTTGTCTTACCCCTCCATAGATCGTGCCAGTGTGTAGTGCATGCCTTTTAGCCGCCTGTTTAATCATGATGGAGGTTACATCATTGAGTCAATGATGATCCTCACCTTTGACGATTGCTTGTTCCCACTGAATCCACAGGCAGTGTTCATTATTGCTGATCAATAGTACGAGTGCAGTGTATTCTGCTATCACAGTTAGCGGCCAACAAAGGCAGAAATCTCCTAATGTGTTCCAGTTGCCTGGCATTGGCATTTATCTTTTGTTTTATGCAAATACAGAAGCTATTTATTGATGCATAAAACGCATTGTTGTTTTAATGTATAGCTTGAAAGCTTCCATTGTTTATAACAAAAAAGTAGCAGAACTGACTGGCAGAGCAACAGTGTGACTTTAGTGTTACATCATAGCCACATGCTGAAAAAATAAGTCATGCTGATAGCTCACAGCAAGAAAATGTGACACTAAAAAAAAATGAGAGAGAGATGATGATGACATTGTTGGCATAAAGGCCACTGAGTAGTAATTTCATACAAGACATGAACAACTTGAGGGCATATTGCTGTGTAGACAGTGCAGACTGACATCAAAACCATTTTCCACCTACTGAGTTGCCTGTTGTCAGTAGAACTTTGGATCAATACGGACAGTGAGACCCTCAGAGAGTCCAGCTCCATTTACACTTGTGTGTTGATCTATATAAGTGTAACAGCCTCTGTCGCTATCAGATCCATTGACTCTCTGAAAAGGCGCTGCATCTTTCCGGCCTCTCGGCAGACGACATCTGGCTCCCGCTTCTATCCTGACTTAAGAGGAAGGTTTTTCTGTTTGTATTTGCTACGCTCGCATTATGTAATTGTGTTGCATAAGTCAAGTCCTCAAGGGAATTATTCGTAGATTGGTAGATACCTCTTACTGCCTGTGCCACAGAGAGGTGTCTCCTTCAGAGCGAGGGGAAATAACAGAGGAGAAAACTCCACTGGTGTTTTTCACATAAATGCTGTTTGGAAAAACTGACCTAATGTTCTTTTTTTTGTTTGTTTTTACATCTACTTCTTCCTCTTCCCATTTATTTGTTAATATTTATTATTTGTCTGCAACACAAACCATTTGCCTTTCTTTCTGTGTCAGGTGTGCACCATGGCATCGAAACCCCATCCTCCTCTAATGAAGAAGCACAGTCAGACGGACTTGATAAGCCGTCTGAAGAGCCGGAAGATCCTTGGAGTTGGTGGCGAGGATGATGATGGCGAAGTGCACCGCTCGAAGGTCAGATTACTTCACATGAGCAGTTGATTTTATTCAGTATGGGAAGTAATGTAGACAACAGACTCAAATTGCATTAGCACAACAGATGACTTGGTTAGAAATGTAAGCACACATGTTTACTATCATCAGTCAGATGGATAATATTACAGCAGTACATAAGCAAAAAGGGCACTCCACCACAGATGCATTTAGTAACTGTGAGAAGAGCTATGGATTCGTTTTAAAAGCCACAGTAGGCTACTAATTGGCTCATCATTCTTTTAGCGTCCCATTGTGTGCGTTTGCCTCCTTGTGCTTCAGTGAATCTAGATCACGTAATCCACGGAGCTCTTGCAGCTCCACTGAGATGTGACTGGCTCCCCGGGGAGGCTGAATGCCTCTTACATCTCATGTATTATATTTCTGCCTCACATGCATTTTCATATGGACAGCGCATACCCAAACACGACAGCACACATGCTGGTTTCTGCTAGGAGACACAAAATCTGTTGTCATAGTCATTTATCTGGAGCTCCACAGTTGCAGACTGACAGTAGTGTCTGGTTCTGGACTGAAATATCAAGATTTCAACGATACTTTTCTTCTTTTTTTAATCAGATTGTATTACAATGAGCACAGGCACGGCAAACTGTTCCTCACTGAAATATTAATCAGGCAAGTGAGAGAAAGGAACAGACCAGAAGGGTGCAGGCATACGGTGGTGGCTGATAGCTTGTGATGAGAAGTCGGCCCCCTTTTCTCTGCCCTCCTGAGTGTTTGTTTTCTCTCTCAATGTTTTAGCAAGAAGCTTAACCCAGACATCTGTCATTCAGATCTCTTTTTACAGAGCGCACTGATTGAGACTTAGACTAAGGAAGAGACAGAAACACATGATGCCTCAGTTTTAATGCCAAGACTGCTTTATTTGATTTGAGAAAGATTCTCTTGGTTAGATACTGAATGTAATAATTGAATGGTGATCGAGAAACAGTGCATTTAAATTACTGTAATTTTTGGACTATTGAGTGCACTTGAATATAAGCCGCACCCACTAACTTTAAAAAGAAAAAATAGCTTGTACATATATAGGCCGCACTTGTCTATAAGCTACAGGTGTCCACGTTGTAACATGAGATAGTTACACAGAAAGATTTTTTACATTTTTAATTAAATACGTACGTAACATACACAAATATGTTCTGTAAATGCTTTTTTCCAAACAGTGCCTGTAACACGGCTGGTTAAAAATATTAAAAATACAGTAACCTACCAGGAAAAGTCATTGATTGCTATCTTCATCTTTCTCCTGCGCACTAAAACCACTAAAGTCGTCTTCTTCAGTGTCAGAATTGAACAGCCTCAGAATTACTTCGTCACACAATTCCTCAGTCTCTCTTTTGTTGTCGCTCTCAATGTCACTTTCGTCTTGAGGCAAATTCGTAAAAATCGTAAATATCCATAAATTAGACACATCATTGTTTAAACCGCAGTGTTCAAAGCGTGTGAAAAAAGTTGTGGCTTATAGTTATAGTAAAACAATATTTTGACTAATGTGGTCTGTTGTATGTGGTGTTTTTGAAAAGCTGCTTTCCCTATTCCTGTGACATTGACCCTAAATTAGAAATAAATTGTTGTGGTCACATTGTGATTGGCCTATTGTGCTGTTGCTGTGGTTGTAGCAGGGAGACACATGTGATCTAAAAGTAAGGTAAGCAGCACAAGTCCTCTTTTGGACAGGAAACAGTTGGCTTTATCCCGGTGGTCCGTGTAAACAAAGGAGGGAAGTGCTCCTGTAGTCCGCTGACTGTCTCTTCCTGCCTCCTTTTACTGCTTTGAGATAAGAATACTGTTGCTATTATAATCACTTAAGTGAGAGAGAGACTTTGTATTTGTACCTGTTCTGTTTTGTGAGTGCAAGTGCATCAAAAAGTATCGCCTGTCTTGTCTGCTGTGTGACTGACAGCTTCTTGAACCCACTAAAACAATAGTTTATTGCTTAAGTCATGTTGCACAACCAAGCTATAGCTGCATGAGCCAAGGCCTTCATGAATAAGACAGCGCTGTATGTATAAACACATGTTATGTTTATATGTTAGGTCCCTGAGGGTTACCGCTGAAACATTAAATTGTGATCACTGTCTACTTAATGTAACTGCACAAACTGACAGAGATCCATCAGACTAGAAACATACACATTCATATTACAAGTCTTCAGCTGGTGAGCAATAGCTTTTACTCCACTGAATATTTTTCATGCTCTCTGGCTGAAAAGTGGCCCATTGTTTACTGAATGCAGCTGACTGGATGACTGATAAAAACGCCATGCCACAGCAGCTGTGATTAAGCGTTTCTCTCTCTCTCTCTCTCTCTCCACAAACATCATTGTGTATTTGTTTCTTTTCCTGTTGCTCCCTTTCTCCTCGACTCCCTTCCGCCATATTCCCCGAGCCAGCCTGGTGCCATCGGTTGACGCTCAGTTCCCTTTTGAGCGTTTCTCATGCCAGTCATGAATATTTATGTGTTCCTGTCAAAACCAGCCCCTGAAACCATGGTACAGGAAGGCTGATTCACCTGGTCATGTGATCACAGCTGGCACAGATAGATTCATGTGAAGGCACTTCAGCAGCAGCACAAAGGAGGATCGTAATGGCTCTAGTCTGTTGCTCTTTATCCTCATAATTTTAGGAGTTTAGCCTCAAGGGAGCCTTCTTCCAGCTTCTACCCTGAGCTGAGATCAAAGATAGCAACAGCCATCTGCAAATATTTAAGAATCTAAAAAAAAGTTTGGACGGCGGTTTCTTTTTTTTTTTTTTCTTTCATTTGATTTTAGGCACATTTGTACGTCTTCCATTTCTCTATTTTTGAACCATCCATTTTTGATCATAAAACGGTGGCGCCTTAAAAAGCTGCTTTTGTGTTTGTGCACCATAAATTGCTGCGAATGCACACATGAGATGGCACCACTTTACGATTTAAATAAATAAATCGTATCTATCCTTGCACAGGAGCAATGTGTGTGACCCCTAATGTAGTGTGGGTGTAGGCGTGTGACATGGGAGAAGTGATTATCACACCATTAATAAGGGCACTTTCCTGTGTCAGCACACTCTGTATTACAATACAACAAGTCTTTGCTAATTATGTAAAATTATGTTGTTTAAAGATATGAACTCCGTTTCACTATTATGCATGAACTAAAAAAGCCTCTTTCTTTTTTAATTTGCATCTTGCCTGGAATAAGTAAGGTGTAAAACAGAAATTAACTTAACAACATGATGAGGTTGTATCGTGATGAGAATTCACTGAAAAGTCAGCGTAAATGACATGCCATGCAAGTAAGGTGTTGCCTGTTGCGTTGTATTTAGGTCTCATTGTTATAGCTGTAATGTACAGTAGTATAATTTAACGTGTAATGTCATGTCATGAGGATTTTTCTCATGACACGATTTGACGGTTGGACTCATTGAAATGCGGCTGTTTTTGGAAGTGAGCCAAGGAAATGATAAAAAGCAGAAACCCTCGAAAACCTTTGTTTTGATTGTTCTGATGTGTGACATGAATCATTTTTGTTTCATTCACTCTGACATTTCACGGGATCATCAAACGGAAAACTACTTTCACATTGATAGTGAGTTCCCTGTAAACACTGCTTGCCAGTAAATGATTCATCCTCTCTGCCGTAGTAGTTTTCATGCTTCAGTGTATTTTTAATTTCTGCTATGTCTGACTAACACAAGAGAACACAAGACACATTTAACGGTGAAGCAAAATCATTGATGTTATGGAAATAATTGGACCTGAAGGCCAGCTGACAGGGTTACTGTCTGTTCAGGCAGAAAACTGGGGTTATATTGTCACTTGCCCTCTGTGGTTTATCTGGGATTGTTTGTTTACCTCCCTGCTCTTGTGCCCTCGTCTCAGGGGGGAAAAAAATCTGAAGCAACATTTCTGGGCTGATAGTCCGCAAGAACATACATAAAGAATCAGTGCATTCTGCAGATGAAAAATGGCTTTAAGCCTAAATCAATAAAGTGTGAACACATACACCTCAGACATACAGATATACAGAGTAAATCTGATCTCAAATGCACATTCTGTAATGAATGATACATGGTGCTTCAGCCCACTGATTCCAGATTGTTTGTAGATTGTGTTTATTTGCTTCCAGTCTTACTCTGGGCATCAGACCAAGGCTGCAACAATTATTTTTAATATCCACTGATTGTTCATTTTTTATCATTATTTCTATTTATATCATTTTTTTCTAAAACAAAAAAAAATTACTGGAAAAACTGGAGAAAAAGTGATACTCCCACATCCCAAACTGAATGCTTGTTTCATAAAAATCAATCATCTGAAATGTACAGATATTTAAGTTGTCAGTGACATCAATATTAAAAAGCAGTGAATCTTTACATTTTTTTTATTTTGGAACCACTAAATGTTTGTCACTTTATTTGCTGAAGGAACAATTGATTATCAGATGTGTTGCTGATACATTTTGTATTGGCTAATGATTAGATTGACTATTTGTCTTACATTTTAACATCTAGTTACATATAAATATTGACACTGATAGTAGAGTTTAAAAAATCAAGTTGCTGGTTATTAACATTCCACCTTCTTTTAGATTCTGTGATAAGAGATGCTTATCCTAACATATTATTGGGTGAATGTCTGGGTGTGTCTTTGTAATATTGCTGCTTTTTCAGATTCATTCCGTGTGGAATTTCATTAACTATTAACTTTTATCGTTGTATTCAACTGAATTGAACAATTGGTCATAAGAAACAGCATGTCTCGCTTTCTACATGTCAAACATTTCTCTCCCTACCTGCTTTCAGAATGGTAGATTGAAAATTATGTGCTGCTATTGTTGGAAGTATTAAGTTCATTTGTAGCAAATAATGCTTTTCTTCTAAAATAGATTTGGGAGTTGGTTATTCATCCAGAATACATTTGTAAGATGTTGCTATGACATACACTCTTAATCTTCAAGGGGCGGTTAAAGAGGTGAGAACATTTGCAGTCTCCAATTAACATATTAATTGGCCCTTCTCTGACACTCCTTTCTTGCCTCCCCACAGCTTTGTTTAATGCCGTCCTTTCTTGTAGCCTGCTACAGATGTGTAGTGCCACATGAAACACACCTCCATGGAGCGCACTTTATTTTTGTTGATGTGGTGCCGTGTTGGAGGTTGTCATAATAGATATCTATGAAGATGATGCACCTTCTCATAACTCATTTCCTTGTTCTTTTGTCTCGCCTTGCTTGCTCACAGATCAGTCAGATGCTCGGAAATGAGCTGAAGTTTGCAGTGCGAGAGCCTGTCGGGCTGAGGTGAGAATTCAACTGCTCGGTTACTCGGTGTCACAACAGCTCACAGCTAACACAGCAGACTGCAGAAGGTCATCTGTGTATCACTTCCAGTAAAGTTCAATATCTTGCCAAATCTGAGAAAAAATAAATTGGTGTATGTTGTAGGAAGGATATGTTATGTTATGTAATGTCTGTCTTCTTAGGGTCTGGATACTCGTTTCAGCAGTTGCTTTCACAGTTATGGCTCTGATGGTAAGTTTGCTTAAATTAACTCTCCATTAATGAAAAGGTAGCGTTATAAGACAGCAAAATTGTTCTTTATAGAAACTGGAAACACAATGATACACAAATCCTGCAATGAGTTACTGTGGATTCTTTATCAGTAAAGAACATCTGGAGAAACAGCTCCGTCTTTGTTGGCCATACCATCGTAATTCTCAATATCCTCAGTGTTCATGACGGACACAGTGATACTGAGTCACAAACAGGAAGACTTTGGTCAGAACAGAATGCTGTTGTGTTGGTATGACAGAGCTTAGTTGTGCTTTTGTTTCCCTACACAGGCCCTGATGTTTCCCAACCAGCTTTATGAGGTTGTTTTTGAGGAGGAGCTCTCCACGACTAGCATCTCTGTTCGCCTCTATGGAGGAGCGTTGCTCAGTAAGACATCCAGTTAATACATTCATGCAGCTACTCATGTGCTCATGCGTCGCTGCAGCACAGTGAATAAACTGCATGAGCGAGCGCATTCACTGTGCTGAAATGATGCTGACACACAATGTTTTAATATTTATTTATGTCCATGCTAAAAATATGCCCCGCTCCAGTGCACGTGGTCTCTTGTAATGACGGCTTCTAATGCATTCATTACATTTCGCACACACTCATTCAGATACTGTATAAAAAGCTCTCTTCTTGCTTTAAAACCATTCCTTTAGGCTACAAACAGAGGTTGTGTTATTTGACTGAGCTCTGTGTATCTACAGTTCAGTATGAGGGCATGCCAGAGATACAGAGGCCAATTCTCCAGAATACTAACAGCAACCATCCGCCTCTGCGTTCTGTGGCCTCATACATCAGGTTTAGATCTGCTGGCGTCAGAGTGGGGGATGATGGCCACGTATATAGTGTGTATATGTGCGTGAGTTGGTCTAGAAGTCAGAGAAGACGCGTTTAAATGTTGATGTCGATGGCGTTTTGTTTAATTTTGTGCTCATTTGTGCCACGTCATGTACAGAGACAGCCGATCATTATAGCTTCACCATCGTCACATGTGCCAGGCAGTTATGGCATTTGTTCTTTTCTCACCTCAGAGAACGTGTACTGAAGATGCGAGCAATTATTTTAATGGCTGCAGTTTAAATCGGGGCTGTCAGTCAGGTGATTATTAGTTTGTGATGGCTGTGTGAGGAGATGCAGGGTGACGGTGGCGACAGAGGGGGCAGGCAGCACACAGGCTACCCCTTGATGTGAGAGTCAGCTGGGAAAGCAAGGCAAAGACACAAGAGCGAGAGGAAAAGGCTTAGCATGTACTCAGTAAATGATGCTAAGTTGTCATTTCTAAGTCAAGCCTGAACATATGTCAGACATTATATAGTCATAGGCGTGTAGAATATTACATCAAACATGTTCTCCTCCTTCCTCACTAGACATTTATGAGAATGCTAAGAAAGAACCTGTACTCGCCTTTCTTCACGAATCAACGATGTAAAATGTAAAAAAATTCTAAAATAACACACTGAATCCTTGTATGCTTCAGAGAGATAGAACCTTAAACATAGCACTGTGAAGGATAATATAAACCTGCTTTGTTTCATAAGGCCAACAAAAGACTGTTCTCTTTTTGATAAATGTCAGCTGAGCTGTAGGGATTAGTTAAAAAAAAAAGGGTGATGTCTTACAAGACAAGGTGCCGTGTAGGGAGGGAAAGGATGGGGTCTCATCTGCCACACAGATGGAACCTGGCAGGGAGACGATACAGTCAATCAGCCCTCCCACCTTTCAGCCCACCCCTTCTCGTTTCCATAGCCTTACTGGTCTGTGTGGGTGGGAGTGAAATACAGGAAAATGAACTGGAAGGGAAGAGCAGGGAATGAAATGATAGAGCACAAGCTTTTATCAGAATCAATGAGTCAGAGCATTCGGCCGAATCAATAGGCGACGTATCTGTATGTGGGCACAGCATCACAGATTACAGATTAAACCTGCAAGTCCACTCATTCTGTAATCGTTTTGTTAATGGAAATGCTCTCCGACATGTTGAAGTCTTTTCTCCAAAGCTTCCTCTTTTTTTCTTCTGTTTTCATTCCCATGCCCCTGAACCTAAAAATTCCCATTTATCTCATCCTTTTCCAGGCCTGGCCCTCATCATGTGGAATGGTCTCTACACAGCAGAAAAGGTCATCATCCAGTGGACTCTGCTCAGTGAAGCCTGCTACTTTGCTGTACAGTTTCTAGGTGATTAACTTTTCCAACGCATGCAGTTCCAGCCCTGTATCTGTGTCTCTGTCTGTGAAAATCACAGCTTCAGAAAACCTCCTTTTCTCTCTCACTTAGTCAGTGAGACAAACCAGCCATCCATCCACCCATCCATCCATTATCTATACACCGCTTAATCCTCACTGGGGTCATGGGGGGGCTGGAGCCTATCCCAGCTGACTCAGGGCGAAGGCAGGGGACACCCTGGACAGGTCGCCAGTCTATCACAGGGACACACTTAGAGACAGATAACCAAGCACACTCACATTCACACCTACGAACAATTTAGAATCACCAATTAACCTCAACATGTTCTTGGACTGTGTGGGAGGAAGCTGGAGAACCCGGAGAGAACCCACACTGCATGGGGAGAACATGCATGAGACAAACCAGTTGAGGGGATTGTTTTTGCCAGCTTGGGAAATGAATGCGTTGATAGCACCCTCTTGTGTTTAACGTGTGCAGTCACAGCCTTGCAGTGTTTTATGAGGACACACTTGAACTTTATAGCCATGTGTACAACTAAACAGCTTTTGGCTGCTCTGTAATTATTCATAACAGATTCCACAGTCCAAGTTTTGTGGGGGGGGAGGGGGAAAGCCAAAATTAGAGTTATGCAGTCTGTGTTACTCAATTCGAGTGTGTGTCTCCCAAAGTTCGTCATACAGTACAAATCTCTTCACCACAGTTCAGAAAGTAAACAGTAAGAAAAAACACAAAAAGAGAATTATGTACTAAGAAGAATGATACATGCTTGCTTAATTCAAAGCAGACTGGCAACTGAAGCAACCAATAGCTCCCTAAGTGTACATGTGGGTATTATTTTAAGTCAGACTTGGAAAAATATAAACAAGTCAAATGTTTTTGTTTTTTTTTCCCCCAGTGACATCCATCACCTTAATGGAGATCGGCATCCTGCCCAACGCTGCCATACTGCTGCTAATCAGTCGAGTACTCTTCTTGGTGGTCACCATGTCTTACTACTACCACTTGGGCCGTAAACCGAAGAAGATCTGAGCTGACTTGTGATACTTCGAGGGAGGGGACAGCTGAGCACAGATCACAAACTTTTGGGGGTTCAGAAGGTTTGGATAACTGTTTGATTGGGGCTCAGAGCATTACTTTGTCAGCCGATGCCCCCCCGCCCTCTTCCATGGGACCTAGCTTAACGTAACCCCCGGTATTCAGCAGATGAGCACAGTCTCACATTCCAGACTCAACAACAAGAACGATACGCTTCATAGTGAAAGTGAACTGCTCTTTCAGTGGGCAGTGAGGTCAAGCCCCTCCAGACACACATTCCTCCTTTGTGCAGTTATAAAGAAGGAGCTAGCAGTTTTAGCGCATTGCATTTTTGTGTTATATGATTCATGATGTACAGTAGTAATTTCAAACACATTACTATATAGTTAATGCACAACCACAATGATTCCCGTGACTCAATGTTTGTTGTATCACACTCGAGGACCAAGAGCTTGTGCTATCATTTGTTTCCTGTGTGATTGATGTTATCTCACAATGTATGTACCTAAGTCTGATTATCTGATGTCGTGCATGCTTTCTGACAGCTTTCCAGCGAACACACTAAATGAAACTGCGCTTAATGTGAGATTCAGATAAGCTAAGTGCTAGATGAGTAGCTGTAAACCTTTTCTCACACTGCTGATAGCTTTCTTGGTCCACAAACCGTGGAAACTATTTACAATCTTTATTTTTTTCTCGCTGTCTCTCCATCATGGCCTTCAATCATATTCAAGTTTAGACTACCCGAAAAACAAACTCAACATTTTTTCAGGGACGAAGGCTTTTTTTTTCTTTTTTCTTTTTTATTCACTGAGCTGTCAGTCAAGAGGTTGTACCAAAGTGAATGGGGAATTGTTTTGTACAGAATATTTTCACTACTGAGATTATTACATGTAATGTTGATAAATGCACACGTGAAGTGACTCGTACAAGAGAGGCGGTGTGCAGTGGTCCTCTCCTTGCCGTGTGTGCTCCATTAGGTGGGACGTCAGCCTCAGTAACGTTAACTACTGTAGAGCTGGTGTGACAAGCCGAGCATGTCAGTGTGCAGGGGAAACAAACCTGAGCTGGCTCCTCTTTAGTGATGTAGCACAGTTATTTTTTTTTATTTTTCTTTTTTAAACATAACACCATATCCTAGTCTTGCCTTAAAACTACTTTAAAGAATAGTCACCAACACGGCATCCTTCTTGTGAATATGTACATAAAAGTATTACCATTATGTGGTGTTCTTGTGAACCAAACAGGGAACTTGTTCAGTATTAGTTCAATGATTTTCAAAGGTTAATCCTTCTCTGGTGTGTCTTATTTTGTACCTATTTAAGTGACATTTGTATTTTTGATGTCATGCATGCAATATAATCTACCAGATGTGTCCACCAATAGCTCAAACTTTGTAGCAAGCTGCCATCGACCAGAGAGCTAAGAGTTAAAGATGTTAATGACAGTGAATGGATGCAATAACCAAAAATGGCAATGAAAAAAAAAAAAAAATCTGAAAAGGAAAAGTTGACTTTACCAGACAGTTAAATTATATCTTCTTTGAAACAGATCTAACCCAGCAATTTACAGTTCCCAACCAATCAACTTGTTCAGTGCATGTTCTACCTCCCTTTTCTTGGCATACCCTCAGGTGCAAGACATCCTGGCTCATCTTCAGAGCTGTGCCAGCAGTGCTAATTTGTCAACTGTGATCTCCACAAGACACTCTAAAGATAGGAGAATCATTTTGTAAAGTTAACTCAAAACACCATTTTGACTCAAACAAGGAGCATACTGTAGGCCTCCAAAGGTGGTCCGTATTGTTGCAAATGACCACGTTGAGTCCTGCCCTAGAAGGGAGTGGTACTGAGGTCAGAGTGATTGTGGGTTTGCAGTAGCAAGTCCAGCGCTGAAGGCAGATGTGCTTGTTACTTGGGCGAGCGCTCAGTTCAGATAGGGAACGTGAAACATGGGTGAGGTCTCCCGTACCCCTCAGCGGTAGTAATTATCCTTTTTTCCAGTGTTTAATTAGACACAGCTCTCCCCAGTTGACATTGTGTGCCCCAGCTTACACTACTGCTCTGTCCTGACTAGCATGATAATTATGGAGTTCAAGAAAAATGTCATTCCATTTCCGTCAATACTACAGGCCTCAAATCATCAGCCTTGTGAAATGTTCAAAGGTCTGTAGAGCCGGTTATTTTTGTAAAGATGGGGCAACTTCAGCAGGAGGGGGAAGTAGGGCAAAGAAGCGTTTTCTTTCATCCTCCTGGTTCTCTGACGTAAATTAATCCGAATATTACTTTGGTAACTTGTGTGCTCAGAATTTGGAAGTACGAAGAAATTGTAAGTTGAGCTATTCATTCCCTCATCCAACATATGGTATACTGTTGTGAATAGCATACCTCGTCAAACTGTTTCAAGTTGTAGCATTGTGTTTTTTTTGTATATATGTGGTATACTGTATGTCAGAAATGAATTGTTATGGATTTCCATTATTTAGTTTGAAATAAAGAACACTTGTTTATTTTGAAGACTTGAAAATGGATGCGATTAGCTTGGTCATGTTGTCCTTTCAGATAAATAAATAGGGCTGGAAGGAGCTATTATTTCCAATAAAGCTCACTGTGACATATTCAAGTAGCTTGTTTTAGCCAACATATATCTATATATATAAAGGCAGAACATTTGACAATTGATAAGCCAGAGATAATTTTTTTCTAATTGATTATCAGAATGGTTGCTAATATATTTTTTTGTGGATGGACTAAACAAATAATTGAAAATTGATTAATTGATTTCCTGCTCAGTACTGGAGCCCATAACTTGAAATCATATAAAATGCACTGGCAAAAGAACAATGTGGTCATCTCTGCAGTAAATTGCATAATTTATTAATTAGCTACATTGAACCTTGAACGTCACTGGAATGATGATGTTCAGTCGTCCTCAAATTTATTCATACCCTCCTATTAAAGAAGGAAAAAAAACAGCTGTCACTGAAACAAGTTTAAAAATAGCAAAAGTAATAAATAAAAATGTAATGACAATCTTGGCATTGCTTTTGAATTGTGGTTCAACAGAAACATTAAAAAAAAGAAAAAAAAGAAAAAAAAAAAGCAAACAATCATGATGGGACCCGAAAACTAATATTTTTTTGAACAACCCTTTGAGTCAATCACTGCAATCAAGTGTTTTCTGTAACTCTCAGTCAGACTTCTGCACCTGTTGACAGGTGTTCTGATTCTGGCCCACTGCTCATCAGCAAAGTGTCTAATTTGTCTGGGACAGATTTATTTATTTTTGGTTTTTTTATTATTATTCTTTTCAACTAGAATTCAAAAGCAATGTCTTATTTCACTAAATTATCATTTTAAATTTTTTTAGAAATTATTATTGCTTTTTTCTGTTTCTAGTTAATTGAGTGACTATTATGAATTTTGCCTTTTCTTTAATGGAAGGGTATGAATACATTTGAGGACGACTGTATTAATCTAATATAAAAGTACTGAATTTTTTAAAAAATGCACCAAATCAGCCACTTACTCAACATACTAAAAGACATTAAGTTGCTATAATAGTTAATTCAATTAAGACATGCAGAGTACCTGCTTGTTCTCTGTTACATAAGCCTAATAAGGCTTTAAATTTGCATCGCTGATGCCCGGCAGCAAGGGAGAGACTTTGATTTTTTTGGCACAGGTTGACACTCCTTAATTTGTCAGCTGACAGCCAGCAGCAGCCTTGACAAACTGTCTTCCGCCTACCTGAAATAACCGTAGAAGTGGAGTGCCTTCAGCTAAATTTCCTGTTGAATTTAACCAAAATGCATTACTTCACGGAACACAAGCTACTGATTTGTTCCAGCGTGCCTCTGCAAAGACGGCTGTTATGTAATGTCACCCTTTGTTTGGTGTTTTCTGTTTTAAGAGAACATGTCCTAACACGATCATTCCCAGGTCTGTACAAAGAAATTTCAGAAAATTTGAAATCAGACTGTGGCCTCCCACACATTCTAGTTTTCCCATCCAATCCCAGCAATCTCCTCTTACACACACACACACACACACACACACACACACACACATTGGGCCAAGGGTGAAAAGGGGGATTGTGTGGCCCAGGAAATGTGTGTGCACTTAGAGGTTGTTTACAGGCAAAAAAAAAAAAGCTCCCATGTGTCCATATGCATTCTCCCCATACTTCCCACCTAATACACTAACTCCTGGTTTATTTCTTGAGACATGCTGGTAAGCAGTAATTTAGAACAACCTACAACGGATCACTTAAAAGCCGGGCGAAAATATTTGCTCGAGTTTACCTAGCAACAGTGACGCACATGTATATACACCCAGTTGATCATGTTATGGTTCTGAATATTTTCATAAAGAAATATTACATTGTGATCTGAATGACATAGTTTTCTTACATGAGAATGATAATAATAATAATAATAAAAAAGTTTGCATAATATCCACAAAATCCAAACTGTATTCACATGAGCACGGTAGTAAAACTAACAGAGGTAGTTCCTGCTTGGGGTTTGCCAACATTTGACATCAGCTGGGAAATATTTGGAGCATAATGCAGCTGTGAGCACATTAAAAAAAAAGTGAGAGGGAGTTTTTGCAGTGTTACGGGGACTTGTGAGTTAGTTTGCAGTGTATTATAGTGAACAGGACGTGCAGCAATGGCAAACAGGTTGCCACATGATGGTAATGTTCCACAGTGTGGTATAATGGAGGAAATGCTGTGCACCTTTAATAGGTATTTTAAGGTAAAACAACAACAAAGCTTGCCATGCTGATGTCGTATTATTTACATTAGGTGCGCAGTGATTAAAGGTAAACACACCTGTCTCCTGCTCTACAGCGCTGGGAGCTGCTCGGACAGGACAGGGTTAAACATGTCTGCCGCCACACGGTGGGGGTGTGAACATTTTCCCAGACACACACACACACACACAGATAGACTCGGACAAACACACGTTTAGTTTCTCACCAGACTCTCCAGCCACACAGGCAGCAGCAGAGAAGACGAACCGAGTCCTTAGACAACCGTGAACTGGACACCGACTCCAAAGTAAGTCCTGATGAAGGTTACACGTATCCTCGTTGTATAAAAGTAAGATTTACTGAGTAGAAAAGGGAACCTTTGTTAGCTTGTCGACGTCTGTTTGGACTTGAGAAAACTTCGTCTAACAGTAGAATCATCTCTAGGGACAGTTTTTTTTTCTTTTTTTGCTTAACTTGCCTAAAATGAATTAAGTCCAATGGTTAGCTAGCTGTGTGAGCTAACATTAGCTAACGTTCTTTTAACCAATTAGTCTGTGATAACTAAAAGCCAGATAGAAAACTTTTCACTCCGTTTTGAAACTTGTGGCAGATAAATTAAATACTGTGTTTGATTTGCACCTTTCCCATTGCTGACACCTCGGACTTATTAGTCATACAAATCATAATTCAGACTTTAAACTGTGTCCGCCCTGTTTGCCATGCTAACCTATTTATGTGTGCATTTATTACATCCGTTGGTAGCCTTAATATCGGGTGTGAAATGTATATTTTCACCTGTTTTTTATTCATATATTGGGTTGTTTCTATGCTGTGGGTTTTAAAGAAGTTAAATGCACTGTGGCTCTCTTTAAAAAAAAAAAAAAAAAAAAAAGACCTAGAAGAGTAGCTTCACTGTTGCCATCATAGTGAATATTTCACTTCATATAAACCTACTGAGAGAATTTACATCAACTTTTAAACCGTACAACTAGAAAAATGTGTGCGTTGTTGTTAAGCAAACAAAAATAAGAATTGATTCTTCTGGGACACATGCTTGACAGGTGTTCAGATGTCACAATAGTGAGCAGTGGCGTATCACTAAAGTCTGAGACCCATACAGTCCCATGGGCCCCTTTCCCCCCTTTTAACGCATGCTTTGTCACATTAGTACAAATGTCTAAATGAACAAGTGTAAACAAATGCATCGTCAGTGGTAATTAGACTTATCAGTGTGGAGGAACTGCGCAATCTGAAATTTCAACACATTTCAGCCTCTTTTTTTCAACGTACTGTAATTACTGTGTGAAGCTTCAATGCAAAATCATTTCTGTCCCAGTTTTTTTTGGTTTTTAAAATACCCTGAGCAAAAGACAATGGTGGAAAGCCTACTTTGTCTGGCAATTATGTTTCCGAACAAAAGAAAATCAAATAAAACCTCACCGGAATGTTTTATTTTTTAAGTTTCCAACAAGTGCCATCACAGTTCAGTCCCTTGTCTGGACATTTCGACCCAAAATAATTTGGTTCCAAACCTAAAATATTGGTTCACAGCAAGAGCCCGATGCCACTTGGATCCGAAAAGGATTCATGACAACATCGGCGTCGTGAGTGGGTGTATGTGACAACAAACAAGCAAAATGGAGAACAAGTGTGTTAACTGGTCGGCCGAGTCGATATGAACATTTTAAGAGAAGCTCAAAGACTCCGCTCAGAAAAACAAATTGTATGCAGAACTTGCTAAAGAGCTGGCAAAAAACTGCCACCTGCTGGACTCTCGCTTGGAACCGAAGATGTTGTCAAAACGCGTTGGTTTCCCACAGGGCAGTGAGTTGTTGTTGTCCTGAGGGGAAGTGGCGCACAAAGGAGAACCAAACTGCTTCTCTGTTGCTCTAAAAGCCTTAATTGATGTAACGTAAAAAACTTTAGAAAGCTAAATGTTCAACCCAATATTTATTAACAGATGGCATAAATACTAAAACTGAAAACTAAGGCATGAATCCTGCTGCCACTCTCACACTGATTAACTGATGTTAATACAGGAGTCCTGTTAAATAGTAACTCGGCCTGAGTTACACCAAACTTTCCTGATGCTGCTAAAGATTTTTTTTTCAGCAGTAAACCTGATCTGCACATGATAGTAAGTTACATGAGAAACATCGGCATTGGTACAATACTTATACGGTAAAAATGTACTACGAATATCAAAAGACTACTTGATGTTATTGTTGCAAATCTCCTTTCAGTCTAAACTTCTGCAAATGGCTGCTGGAGGTAGTTCACTCCTGAGTTAAACAGGAGATAGTGAAGCTGAACCTGCAGCTGGTTTACCCTCTGTGGCTATTCTGAAGCTGAATGCAGCGCTATATGCAGCGTTCTAATATTTGATCGCAAAACATGTTGCATAATATGAAACTTTTTTTTTTTTTTTTTGAAACACTGCGTTCACAAGAACTTTGCCTTGGCTGCTGTCCATGTGATGGTGTTTTTTTCTTGCATCAGTGCATCACTGTGTTTGCAGAACAATTTTTGAGTGGGCTAAACCATTTGCACCTTTCAGAGGGGTAGGGCAGCTCAGAAGCTCAGATGAAAACAGTGGTTTAGTTCCAGGCTTTGGGTGGTCCTTTCCATGTTGGGTCCTTTGGTAACTCCACTATGGCCCTCGCTACAACAACCCTGATTATAAGCTGTACTGAGACAAACTGACAGGAAGCCATGAGCAAGCCACACACATTCTAGGTAACAGTCATTTACCACAAGGGCTCATGCAGTCCTCCTGCATTAGCTGCAAGCTTTTAAGCAATTCTGTGGTTTACAAGCAGAAATTAGTATCCGAGAAGCCAAACCTTCAGAACCTGTCATAGCCTGTGCTCTGTACTTATATTTATTTAGTTTTGGTTAAAAAAAAAATTATGAATAGGTTCAACTCATTACTCTGCCTCTGAATGTGTCCTTTAGGATTAGTTGTAATATTGTGATTGTTAACTGTTGGGTAGCTGCATGTCATGTCTTCAGATCAATGTCGGAGTGTTGGACTTCATTGAGTGAAGCTACACATTTCCAGTTTAGATTCAGCTAGTGGTACCCCGAGACTGGTCTTTAAGGGATTAATAGAGTAGTGTTTGCTTTTTTTTCTGTGATTTAAATCAGCCTAAAAAAGACAGAACCATTTCTCCTGTTGTTGAAGGCAGATTTTTATTCTACCAAATCTTCTTTCTGTTTTTGTAGACATCATAAAACAAATTTGGTTCTTGGTTTCGGCTCATCAGACTATGAGAAAACAATATAAAGGCTTTTTTCACTTTGTAATTTGTAAGTATCATTATTTTTTGTATATAGAGTAAATTATTAAAACGATGATCTGATCGTGGTCCAGATCTCTGTTTTGGTTACCATAGATTCATCATCATTTCCAGTGAATCATAAGAAGTTACCTGGCACCCAGTCAACCCATTTTTATCATGCTGGTAAAACTGATAAATGGGAAATCCCCTCCATCTCACTAAAAACACTGAGGCTCATCAACCAATGAACCAGCTAAACATTGTCTAGACCACAGATCTCCCATGAGGAATACCCCAGATGAATCAAACATTTATAGACATAAACAATATATTTTCCCAAAAGGTTATCAGCACCAGCAGCCCTCATCCTGTCATTTTCACCCTGCGTTATTACTCACAAAGCTTAATTTACAACAAAGCAGTTTGTAGAAATGTTTGTAGAATGACACTGTTTCCTCTTTCTCAAACAGAAATGCTCATTTATTCAATTTTGTCACCAAAATGTCACTGTAGCAACAAGCTACATCCTGTGCGTGCAGAAGGATAGATGACATCGTTGCAGATGTTAAAGCAGGAGTCTGCCATGGTATTAAGGGCTTTAATATTACAAGGATGGTGTAGGCATGTTCATCCCAGTGCAGTGGCCTCACAGATGTGTAAGTGGGTCATATATGAATATGTTAGGAGGAGGTGGTGGAGGGAGGTTGGCACACTGCCTGACTTTTTGTGTTCAACAGGGTTATGCTTGATCCAAGCTGGTTCCATTACAGACAGTTTCTGCCATCTGCCACTCATGCTGTGCTCATAATCATATCTATACTGTGTACTTCTGAACTGGTTCTTTCTACAGTAAGCGAACACTGATTTCAGGTCAACACTTTTATTCTTTTACTGCACCTCAAACACCTTGTGTCAAAGCACAGTGGGAGAAATGAAGGCTGCAAAGAGGGGAAAATGTCTGTGTGAGTTCACAGAGTTTGGAAAGTTCAGGTGACTCATTGGCAGCTTTTTCAAAGTCAGTTCTGTTGTGCACATGGTCTGTGCAGCAGCCTGATTCTCCTCTCTTCTTCTTTAGCTTTCCCATTTCTGATAAACATTGTCTTCTATAATCATCTTTTAATTTCAGCAGCAATACGTATTCTAGTTGTTACACAAGCTTATAAAGGCACTGCTGGCATTGCCGTTTGGCTCTGCTGCGAGTTTCCATTGCCTTGTCCAGTCTTTATTTTCACTTTGGAACAGATTTGTCATTTACTTTCAGGGAGTCCAGTGTGATTGAGTTTGCCTGCGTAAGGTTCAGAAAAAATAATGCTATAAAATGACGCCACACTTTATCTGCGCAGTGTGTGAGCTCATATGGACGCTCTGCAGAAAGAGTGCAAGAATAAAGTCCAGAATAAACTGGGCTAGGCCTGTTAGCCTATTGAATTTGTTGTTTGAATAATATATTAAGTAGCACTGAGGCATTGTTAGGGACCGTTCAGTCAGATGGATGCGCATCAGTCAGTAAACAATGGTTGTCATAACTAAGCCTTTATTTTTTTTTTCTTTAAATCTGCACTACTACTCAGCACTGAAGCATAAAGGCCAACAATCTCCTTTAAGGATTATCTACTTTGCAGGGGTATCTGCTGTGGGGTTTGGGCTTTGCACTGTGTTCTGTTTTGTAAACATGATATTCTGTTGGTATTTAGGTTACATGACACATTTAATACGTTAGTAATAGAACTATTAATGTCAGCTATCTTTTGATAGACCAACTCCACAGATTGTGTGCTCCACATAAAGCTTAAATCCAGCCAAGCATGCTGGACCAGAGGCATATACAGCATGTCTTTGTCTGTGTTTGCATTTGATTAGTTGAAATAATTGGGCTCTTGTGATGGTTCCCAGAAGTTCTAATTATATTACTTGGTGAAACCTAGCTTTCAGGTTTTTTGCGTCCTCCTTACCCATGAATCTGAACTTTGTGATGACACCAAGAAAATCACCAGTATGATGGGGGAGATTTCCCCATATTGTTTTAGCGATGTGTTACAAATGTACAGTTTGTTTGCTGTACTGCAGTGAAGTATGACAAGTTTTTTTTAGCCTATTTTGGGGGATTTTTGCTGTTACGTGAACAGCAGATGGAGATAGACAGGAAATGGGGGAGTGAGGGGGAGGGGGGGAGTCCTGCTGGTCGTAAGGCAAACTGGAAATTCTGCAGCAAAGCGGCCTCACCTTCAGTCACTGGGTTACCACAGCATTACAGCATTTTTAGACAGGTGTTCTTTTCAAATACTGATATATTTAAATGAGGTTGCCACTCATTTCCTGTTTTTGTTCGTGTTTTCCTGTCTTGATGTCTTGATTTTATTTTAAAGGTAGCACTAATTTACAATATGTAATATCCAATAACATTTTAGCCTTGGTTGCAAGTGACAGTTGTACTTTATGAAGCATTCTTTTTTTGTCACGTACTTGTCTTTAGTCTAATCTCTAAAAAAGGAAGTTAGAGTTTCTTACAGTCACAAAAAAAAAACGAGGTAGCCCGTGATCAATCAAAAACAAACACTGCAAAATATGGGACATTTTAAAGGAGTTGTAAATAACTGTGTCCTTTATATTCAGATTTATTACACAATGAACATCAAGTGGTGGTTATTAACTTCCATAAGTAGTATACGTTTATAATTTTTAAAAATACAGCTGAATGCACAGTATTATAGATGCAGCGACCGGAAAGAGCCGACAGTTTAAATGTAAAAGACACAGGGAGAAGAGAACAGCTTGTCATCTGATACATGGGGAGTTGTCTCCATAGGATATTTTCAGACTGCTCAAATAACCACAATGGCTGGTTATATTTTCAGTGCTCCCAGTGTAGGAAAAGGTCTGGTTGTGGTAAATATTTTCTTTGGACTTGCGAAGGTCAGGCTGAATCATGTTGCCAAGAGAGTTTCATGAAGTGTGCTGTATGTGTGGTGCTGACTTGGCCTACAGGTGTTTTCTCAAAGGAAAATGTTGCTCACAGAAAAGTGACTGAATTCCGTCACATGTAGGAAACGCAACAACACAATGAGTGTGAGGTAAACTGATTGTATAACAATGCAGACGTCACTGTAACATGTTCAGACTTCATCTCAGACAGTCACACTCTTGCCCCAAGGGACTGATTCACAACATTATTGTGTTGCATGTTATTTAGTCATTGGCCATCAGCCAAACCTACTGAGCATGGTTTTATTCTGGCTACTTTTGAAATCGTTCATAAAATTGAATTGTAAAGCGCTGTTTCTAACCAAGGTTGTTGTTACTAGTAAATGCAGTTGTAGATAGGCCTAGTTTCCCTCTTCCTGTGACGACAGTAGCGTACGTAACCACATGAGCGGCCATGATCGTGGCTTCACCGCTCATGACTCTGTAGTGGTCTTTCCTCCCCAGTCTTTCAAACCAGGGTGGTTTCTCTTCTTTGTGAAAATTACAACGGCCCTTGTTAACAAGCTGACTTACAAATATTGTCTTAAAACGTAATATTCTATAGCAAGAGGAAAATTGTTGTCTCATAAAGTTGGGATTAGAGGAGTTCGGGCTATTTAAGAGTGGAGAAATTCGGCTGTTGAAAATGAATTGGGCTGTGGGTTTTTTGCTTTGAAGATTAAAGCTGTTTAATCAGGAATCCAACTGTGCAGATTCCCCCGTGTCCTTGTTCTATAGTTCTCTCACTATTAAGGCAGGGCTATCTCAAGGCTAACTGTCTGTGTTTTTTTTTATTTTTTTTATTGTGTCTTTTCTCCATCTTGAATCTGTTTATGTCTGTCTTTTTATCTTACGCCCACACCATACTGCGATGTTGCCCTCTGAAGTTAATTTATCCAATAAATTCTCTTTTGCCTTCCAGAAGCACCACCATGGGAAAAGGATGCATTGCCGTTACCAAGTACTTTCTCTTCCTCTTCAACCTTCTCTTCTTTGTAAGTAATCACATTTCTTCATCACTGTTTGGTTTTAATGCTGCAATATTTGCAAACGCATGTCAAAATCATGCAATATGACTTCCCCTTTGTCTGCAGCTTTGTTTATCGAAGATAGAAAGATAGCTGTGCTGTGCTACTTCGGCTGAATCGGATGCTTGTGACGCACTGAGAACCGTCTTGCAGTTTTTAGGTTTTTATTTGAATAAATGTCTTCATTCAAATAACACCAGATCTAAGTAGAGATACTTAGGGAAATGTTACTGCGGCTGTGGCTGTGCCTGCGGCAAGAGACTTTACAGTGCAGTCAGGTCTAAACAGCAGATGGTTTCCGTTTGTTTCCTCCTCTCCTACACTGGCCACAACATAAAGTCCAGGGGTTGATGAAACCCTGGACTCCTAAAACTGACTCTGCGAGGATGCCCAGACCTTTCCAATGAGTCTGCAGCTATAAACCTGATGCAGACCTTTTGATGTGAACACTCAAATGGTGTCTAATAGGAAGCGTGTGTGCCTGTATCAGTCTTTGTCCGTGTGGACAGATTAGACTAGGGGAGTCGAGGGGAAGCCAGGAAGTGGTGGGCTAATGATGACTGCCCGGAGCTTACCAGTCTCTCTAAATGAACAGTTTTTAACCAAGGCTCTAATTACTGTTGTGGGGCTGGGAAGGGGCAGTCGTACAAGCGGAAAGCTGATGAAACAACAGAGTCTCTCATCTAAGGATTTTGCCCCCACTACAGTACCCCACAACTTCTAAACAAATGCCCGCTTAATTATACTGACACTCTGAACTTCATAGCCTCATTACAAGGGTACATAAGGTAAATCTGATCATTTTGTGAGACTTTCAGATGCCAGTGACAAAATGTTCCAGTCTAGAGGTGGATTCTTCTCATGTCTTCTTGACCCTGCCATCCTTTGTCACTTTTTAGAATGTGCGATTGAAAACAGGGTGCTAATTGTAAGAAATGCCAGCAGTGTGATTCTCTCATTCCTCTTCCCATCCTCAAGTGTTATTGAAGAACCAGAAAGACAGAGAGAAGAGTTTCAATCTGATTAGTCCCAGATGTTTCAGAGCAAGGAAGCAGAAAAAAGCTCCTCTATTTAAGACACGCCAGCACAGATTCTGTGTTTTACTGTCTTGGAGATTCAGTACCTGATTCTTTTGTATTTCTCCTCCACAGATCTTTGGGGCATTGATCATGGGCTTTGGTGTGTGGGTTCTCTTCGATAACCAGAGCTTCATTGCTGTTCTACGTAAGTGTTGTAACACTTAGACACACCCACTGCCTTGCTGACACATCTAAAAGTGATAACACTCACTTAAGAAAACATTCAGCACTTTTCACCTGAGTGCTTTTAGCACAGTGGACGTGAGAATGGAGATTGGAGAATGTACCAAATCCGAAAACCCTTGGCCTAATCTATGCAGCTTTTTGTGGATTTTATCCTGTGGGGCTCATTCCCAAGGAACAACGAAAGGATGTTCACACCAAACCAAAAATGTGACTCACAGATGAAACTTGACGACTTCCTCAGCCATGCAAAAGCTGCCCTGTAGACATACAGACACACATTGGCAGGCACATCTGTGGGGAGTGGGTTCGTCAGGGGAGGGAGGTGACGGGCTGATGACTACCAAGGCAACTCAAGTTGTTTCATCTAATGTTGGAAAATAGCAGTTGTATTTCCCCACAGTTTTCTCAGTGCTTTGAACTTCTGTGAACCCTGTTATGTTTCCTCAGATTGCAGAGGTGCATAGATGTAATCTCCCACCCTCACAGATATCGTCACAGATCTATTTGTAGATGCTGCTAGTTAGAAAGACACCAAACCTCCACATAGCACGCTGTCAGAAGCTAGGTTATCAGCGTTTTTGAAGACAACAATGTGTCTAACTTAGGTTATCTGCCGTAAAGACACCAGAGAAAGCATAATGAAACCCAGGTCCTGCCTTGCCTGAAAAAACAGGGAACTGTGGATGGAAACTCTTACTTGCCATAAATCTTTTTATAAATGCTCTCAGTGTATTCATCCCACATGGAGTATTTCCAAGAGCAGCAGTTGAGTTTTCTCTCAGTTTATAAAGAAAAATTCTTTCAATTTATTATCTGGCAACTTAGAACATGTTGGAAGTCGAGTATAGCACTGCCTTCAATGAGACTCTGAAGCCTGTTTCCTATAGGAGATGTGCACATGATGTGGATCGCAAAGCCACTACTACGAATAATAATAATGTTTACTCACTCAGCTCAACTTCAGATATAACTGTAAGTTGCATCACTTCTGAAAAGACTGTGAGATTTACTACTTTCATACAAACTCGGTTAATAACATTCAACTTAAATTGACAAATGTTTAATGTCCCACACATTCTCTGTTTCTCTGTGCTCACATGTACTACATTTTAATACATCATACACTCCATTAGGACTAAATGTTAACCAGCAGTCCACTCTTGGTCAGACAAAGCAAATATTCTGAAAACATCATCTTGAGTTATATATCCATATATATATATATATAGATGGATAATACTTTCTACTAATTCACACACAACATAATAAGTGGATTAAACAAGAAAAGAACCTGAAGAATAATCAAAAGTGAAAATCCTTGTTAGTTGCTGGACCAAGTTTTTTGCTGCTTATAGTCAATACTTCGGTTAAGTTCTTTGACAGTGAAACAGTCCGATATCTGAAGGTCAAGTAAAGCTGAAAAACAGCTGAAGTGGGAGTTTTTCTGCTACTTTGACTAATGGGTTGTAAAAATGCTCTAGTTATGACGGGGACCATCTAGAACAGACCTTGTTTCCAGCTATTTCAGCTCTCGAGGTCACTAACAAATGAGGAAACACTCCAAGGTTGTTATTGAGCTGAGTTTGCTTATCTCTAGTAAGGCCTCTGCAAAATCAAGGCAGTGCAGTATCCATCATGTATGCCAGCCCCTGGCCTATTGTTATGATAATCCAGCTGTTCCTCCAAAGATAGCACGATTCACTAATACCCTCAGGATATTCCTCCTATGAGGGGCTTGGTTGCCCTTATCTCCTACATATATTTTTGTTTCCTGTACCTAGGAGGGGTCAAGCTCAGCTCCTCCCTGGACTTCTAACCTCACTGGAAATCTTTTACCACTGTGCAAAGGAACAAAAAGCTGCAGGCTGCTCTGTTTATTGATTCTGTGTGCTTCCCTCCAAAGTTGTACCATTGCCTGACCATAAACAGGATCTCTGTGTTTTCAGTTTCCATTCTTTATGAGTTATATTAGTCCAGGCCTTTGCAGCTGTCCCAATGACTTCAAGCAGGAAAAATATGGGAATGTTATGGTTTCAGGCCCCCTTTCTTTTTCAGTTGAAAGGACATCTTCCCCTGACTGTATACACCTCTGTGTCATTACTGTGATATTAGCAGTTTACTCCAGTGACATGATACCTTGAGTTTATCTTGCTAGTGCTTGTCAAAGCACAGCTTGCCCTCATGCTTGAACAAAAGTCAGCCTCGACAAGAAGGTATGTGAGCCAGTGAATGTGCCAATTCCCATTTGGAAATATGCTTAAGATTATTTCAGAAACTTTTAACAATTCATAAAGAGAGAAACTGAGAACTGTGTGCTAAAGTTATTTTTCCTTGGACTATTTAAACTTAGAACAAACTCAAATTCAGCACAAAGTTGATCTACTTATGTTTACATTTTTATTCTGTATGTAGTGTCAACCATGACTTTTCACCATCAGTATGCAAACTGAATGAGCGGCTCTGGTCATGTTTACAGAGGGTCCTGCAATACCAAACAGTCCTCTCTCCTCTCTCAGCAGCCTTCTTGAAGGGCACCATAATTCTTTCCCCTTTTACATGGAAAGTTCCATGGAAACCACTCAAGGAACTATTTTAGAATATCGAGCAGAGACCTACATGGAAACTTGCCATAGTACACTACAGAACAGCACAGTAACCAGGAAAACACATGCTGACTGCAGGAGAATTGTATGTTTTAGTTATACCACAGAGGAACACAGATGCTAGCTTTGAGGCAGGAAGCTTGTAAAGTACAATATCTGGTGCTCTACAAGTGTGACACACCTGCAGAGGGTCTGAGAGGAAACTCTTTCATTTTTGTTGTTGTTGTAGAAGACTTTGCTTTTAAGAATGTGTGTTAAAAATAGCCCAGAATGCATTCAGTGTTTTATTGTTAGCTGCTAGTGGATGTAAGAGGAAGCTGTTGATTTATTGATTAAATGATTCGCCATAACTTGTCACAACAGATAATTATTTTGGAGTTACTTTAGTCTTGCATGACGTTTCCTCCAACTCCAACAAGCACAGGGTTGCAAGGAAACCACATGCAAATATCTATGTCAACCATAGTTCCCACCATCAATAACCCTAGATGCTAGCTCTTCATCTGCATCGAAAGAAACATTCTGATGGTTGCTGCACTGTACTTAAATCAGTGCAGTTAAAGAGACTAAAAACGTGACCTAAATAGCGTAGTAGCGTGGATTGTGCAGTGTCAGCTCAAAAAAAACCTCACTGTTGTCGCCACTAGCTAGAGCCTCAGTACTGTGACTGTTAGCAGTTTAAGACTTCTACTTAAAGGGTTTCATGCATGTTCCCAAATCCTCCAGGTAATTAATGTGTTAAAGAAACCTGCAGACATCTGTTGCTTTTGCAGATCCTGGTTGTGTGTGTGTGTGTGTGTGTGTGTGTGTGTGTGTGCTTGGAGGAGGGAGGGGGGGACTTAAATAACACACTTCAACGTATTGCTGGATATAGAACATACAGCTCTGCCTTCCTTTAAATGCTACCCTGTAGCCACATAAACACTCTGCGTAAGTTCGACCCAAGTACTTATAGCTTTCAATTATTTTCAAACCACCGCTACATACGCTGATGTGGTCGCTCATGTAGAGTCAGCAATGTACACGTTCTTTTACAAGTTTACTGAGTGCATCTAATTAATAGACTACAACATGTATGTGCAAAATATGGTATGCATATTTTTTTGCTGTTGCACATAAATCATCTGAGCTTTTTCATTTTCTTATAGTAATGCAGGCTGTATCCTGTGTTAATGAGCACATATGATAAAACATTCGGAGTTCTTTAAAGTAAGGTTGTGCTCAGTAATGTTGGATTTCGCAATGGCCAACTGACGTTCTTCATATACAGTCTGAAGTGCAGTTATAGAGCTGTAGTCGGAGACACAGCTCGCTTTTACACTCTATGGGGTAATTAATATTCATTGTGCATCTGCCAAGGAAACATGCTTTATGTGAGCATAAGGAATCAGCATCTAATATGTTATGGGAATTATAAATAAATACATCTAATTAGCTTTCTTGTGAGCAAGCCAGAGAGGAGCGCTGCATCATATTCATACATATTAGAGCAGCAGTGGTGGAGCTGCTGTCTTTCAGCATCTTTACCAAATGTTTGGGAGTCAGTTATCTGATAGCTCTGCCTGGTTTGCTTGGCTCAGGAATAAGTTGGAGGCGTTTCACAAAGCTCAGATTCTGGCTTCATCTGCAGACCGAGCTCTGACTCTCTGGAGCTCCTCCAGCCCAGATAAGACACAGTCACATAATGGCTCCAGTTTATCTCCTCTCCAACCTTCCAATCTTCATTTTCAGTCCTTGCCCCCTCCTCCTCTGAGTCTCTCCCACTCTACATACCAAAGAGAGAAATCAATTAATCTCACCACACGTTGACTTGTCTTGGTCCAACTCTCTCTGGTGGCCTACTGTATTAACATAATCTTTCAGGGGGAAAAAGTATTTGGATGATCTGAATTCAACACAGAAACATTTCTGGTCCACTGTAACCGTCTGTATCAAAATGGTTTTGCATTTCAATGAGGCTGAACTGAGTTGCATTTGTTTGCTGGCACATGCTGCTGAGTTTAACTACAAATGCTGATATTTGAATGTTAAAACAGATGTATAGGTTTTAGCACCCTTCCAGGTTTTGGTGGTTCTGTGGATTTTAAACTCCTCCTGTGCTTTTCTGTCTTCTGCAGAGGAATCGTCACACACTGTGAAAGTGGCTTCATACATCCTTATCGGAGTAGGCTCCCTGTCAATGGCCATGGGTTTCTTCGGCTGCATTGGAGCCATCTACGAAATCCGTTGTCTTCTGGGTCTGGTGAGGAATTATGCTGACTTTGAGCTCTAATGCCACATTAGACAGCTTGGTTTTATTCACTAAGCGGCAGGCGTGGGGTTAACACCCCTCACCAGAGGGTGTGAAACTGGTGTAAGATCTAACATCTGACATGATCCGGTCAAGAAAATAAATACATTTAAAAACAAAAGCTTTAAAATCCCTGGGTTTTAGACTTAATCCTCATGTCTCTCTTCACTCCTTTTGTATTTTCTGTTCAATTTGGTTCATTGTAAAAACATAAAATGCTCCAGAACTATTTCATTTTACTTACAGGACATGTCTACCGTACTTCTACAGTTTTTGTGATTTTTGCGATTCAAGACACAAATGAATTCAATTTAGTTTTATTTATGCGCATTGCAGCAAAAAATACTGTAAGTCATCTCCAGGCACTTGACAGAGTCAGGTCAAGATCTTACAGTGTTGTAGAGACAAACCCAACAATTCCCCCTTGAGCAAGCATTTGGTGACAGTGGGAAGGAAAAACTCCCTTTGAATGCACAAAAGCTACACTTGTTTTTGTTTGTTTGTTTTTTTGCACAAAACATTCACCTAAACACACCTGCTCAAGCTCTCAAGCATGGCTAAGAACACATGATAGATTCCTGCTGACAGTAAAGCCCTTCAGCATTTCTGCTAATGTGTGGGGCCAGGGGCTCGCAGCATGTGTGGATTTACCGAGGAGAGGGGGGGGGTGAAGGGGATAAAGCCAGGGAAATGTAGGGGGTACAACAAGAGTGGGGATGGGTGCATGACCTCTACAGCATAAACCTGTTAGGGGTTAACCGAAGAACTGCTGTGACCTACTTCACCCAGTGACAGTGACCAGCTGGCAGTAGACCCCCCACCTTCTCACACAATCACTCAGGAAAGACACACATAAGGCTGTCCAGGAAATAACAGTGCCACTCGGGGGCAGCACAAACAAATTGTGAACATTTGTTTTGGCCACCCCGACAGCCGTGTTCCACTATGTTCACCAGTTAGCTGCTAGTGCCCCAAAGCCCGACCATTCTGTACTGCTATAATTGCAAAATGTGTGGCTGCACCTCTTTGTCGTTTAAATCAATCGCAATCATATTGGGCGCAGCTAAGCGATGGACGCAGCAATAGTGTTCCTGCAAAATAGTTATGATCCATCCATCCATCCATCCATCCATCCATCCATCCATCCATCCATCCATCCATCCATCCATCCATCCATCCATTATCTTTACACCACTTGGGGTGTCCTCACGAGGACACGAACCGGGGACCGGGGGTGCTAACCACCGAGCCACCTTGCAACCCAAAATAGTGATGCTGACAATTGAAACTGATAATTCACTGAAACAAACTAGCATAGCTGCTTTACTGCACAATCTAAATCTTTGTCAAAACGTATCATTCTCAGTGTGGTGGGTTGCTAGCCTGTTTCTGTTTTGTGTGGTGTTGTTTCCTACAGTGAAGCGGATTTTGAAAACAGCAACACATAGATAACAGAAGGGAGTGAGAAAGTCGTGTGAAATGAATTGTGCAGAATTGCAGGATTATATCTGCAATCTACATCTGGTTAATCAGACTAATTAGTTGTCGAACAAGTAGTCTGGAGTTGGTTTTTAGAGCTTCTTTACTGAAAATGGCTGCCTGCTGCTACTGAAAATAACTGGGAGTAGTCAAGTTAGTGGCCGGACAGCTTTGAAGCTCTGCAAAGCTGAGAAGAGCAACAAATTCCTGTGATATTTCTACTTAGGTCCCTTAACACATTGCTATTGTAAAAATAACAACAGATTCTAGCTTCGTTGTGATTTTTTTTCCCAACAGATTTTCTGTTAGTATCAGCAGTTTTATCAGTGTGTTAACAGCACGGATTGTAAATATTGTATCGTAACTTTTGCATTTATCCTCCATAGTACTTCACCTGCCTCCTGCTCATCCTCATTGCCCAGGTCACTGCCGGAGTTCTCATTTACTTCCAAAGAGATCGGGTAAGACACTAGCTGCCGTGTTCTTTGTCAGTCTGATTTTCTCCTTTCCCTTATTTCTTAATTTCACTTCTCTCTAATTTTCCGCTCCTTTCTCTATAGTGACCTTAATAGTCTTATTCATCTTAGCTTTCCCTTTCACCCTGTAACTCTTGTTTACACTTTCTTTCTTCCTCCCATGACCTTTCCCTCGGCGGTTACAGTTTGGGTGTATTTGGTGCTTATGCTTTCCATTTCACAGCTGCGACTGGCTGCACGTAGGTCTTAGATTAACCTGATAGAGAAAACCCCTGCATCCTGTGACGAAACACCACTTCATTGTTCAACAAATGTAAAGTGACAGGATGTCAGTTTGGATGCTGGTAGAACGTGAGATGAAACAGGTGGACCGAAGGAGATATATGACAACGATACAGGAAGCAGCAACTCTTGCATTGAATGTTTCTATTGTCATTGTTGTCCCCGCTGGGTGTTGGTTTGTTTTTTTGTCTTAGGGAGAGAGGGCACACAAATTCTTGCTTAATGAGTAAGCTGAAGCTGCTGTCATATTTAATTGGCCTGTCTTACATTACCTTATCTAAAACAGTAATTATCACCCTGGGGACAGAAACCACGTTCCTCTTGTGTGTCTGATGACACACTGCCCCCTACAGATGGAGATCATCATTTTCAGCTTGTTGCTGAAAAACTAATGAAACTGTGATACTATTATTTGATGCCTTTGATAGATAAGTAAGACCAGAGGGAGCTTGGCTAACCAATACTCAAACTAGAAAACAAGTCAAACAGGTTACAGGAAACTATATATCATGGCTAAACAGTGAAAACCACCTGCCTCAAAAATGGATGTTTACATATTCCAGGTAAACTATAGGCAAAAGTGTTCCCTTGTGGGCTAAGAAGACTAAGTTAGCCACAACAAACAATGACAAACAACCAAAAAACTTAACAACTTAGAATATTTGTCATAAAAAACAAACAAATCTGTCAGAATGTGAAAATGACAGTGATCTCTGAACCCATGAGGAGGGCCTGATTTCAAGTAAGGTGTTTTTTTTTTGTAGAGTTCACATGACAGAGATAGCACTAAGTATGTGTACTGACACGATAATGCAAGCACAAGAGAACATTGTGGTTTAAGACCTTTGAGTAAGCTTAAAGGTAAATGACAAGTGATCTTACAACAAGACGAGTGTACTTGACGGTGAAAGAAACCCTTAGAGGAAATTAAAGCATTACACATGGGTGCAGCAGTATTGCAAAATACATCCACACATTAAGTGGAATTTGTCTTTATTACATATCTGTGGGCCATTTACTGCATACACCATGAACGCATATGACAGTATGTTTTTTTCACTAAAACCTTTTCGATCAAATAAGAGGTTAAATCAATAAAGCAACCAGCCTTAAATAATAGAACCAGCCATGTTTGTTTGTCTCAAAGGGAGCGTTGTGTTTGAGCACACCAGTGTCTCAGACCGGTTCCATACAGGACAAAAAGAGCCTTTCCCTTGATAAACTTCACCGCTGTAGGACTCAGGAGAGGTGGAGGCTGTTTCAGCTGTCAGCCCTCCAGCTTGTGTGTATGTGTGTGTGTGTGTGTGTGTGTGTGTGTGATAGCACGTGTGCGTCTGTAGCCTGCGACACACTCCCTGTGTTTAAGACTCACCACAGGGCAGGGTGGTGCCCTTTCCCAGAATAGGGTGAGGCTCTCACTCATCTCCTGCAGAGCTCAGAAACTACATCCTTGCCACCACTCTGTGGTCTTGCACACATAAACACAGTCATTCTCTTGCTAAGCTGTTTTTGTGCAGTCTTGCAGCCTTGCAAGGGACTTCACAGGACATTACCGACTGTGGCCTGAGAAACATAAAGTTCAGGGGTGATATAGAATCTTGGGAAAAGCCTTAGTGTGGTTGTTTGTTTTCTTGTCTTCAACACAGTTTCTCTGCCCTACACTAAAGATTGATGTCCAACCCTCTGAAGGCTCTAATGCCTTACATCTGAAAATGAACCCTGATGTAGTTATGTACAAATGTGATGTTTTATCAGATTATTTAACATCTGTACTGATAACAGCGTGATTTCATCTCCTTTCTAGTTGAAACATGAGATGTCCAACATCATAAAGACCATGATGATCAACTACACTGGCCAGAACAGGACCACGGAGCACACCTGGGACTATATTCAGAGGACGGTGAGCTTGAGTTTCAGTTTGTTTACGTGACTTATCCATGACTCAGAAAAGAACAACTGACTTTTTAGAATTTTTTGAACAGCAATTTGTAATCCCGAAAATATGGCTAGTCCTTTGCTTAATGTTACAGCCCATAAGGTGTCAGTTCTAACTGATATGAGCACACCTGTGATCACCTATTAGAAATCATTTGAGCTGCTTGTGTCTGTTTACAATGCAGCTGATAAATTCAGTTCCTTTAAATAAGTCATTCGGCAATAATTGTCTTCTGTCGTGCAAACAGCAACCAATCTGAGTTCATGCTGAGCACAGCCTAAATAGTTTATCACACAGCAGCAGAGCACAGTGAAGGTTGATTCTGTGCTGAGGAGTTGGAAGCGTGCAGTCTGTCACCTGCAGCTCTTCATCTGTCAGCTCATTGTTCTGCTCCTCCTTGTTCCATCACTCCTTTGCAAAAATGAAAAACGGTCCAACTGGCTGAAAATGACAATGACTTGCTTTGTAGACACATTTTTATGAACAGCTGCTTTCAGCCCTAAACTTGCTTGGGAATAAGCTTGTGACTGCTCTAAAATGAAAACAACCCCATGTTTCACCAGTGGAATGCACTTAATGTGAAGCAGGAGCAAAAAGAAATGTTAAGCTTGCATCAGTTTTAAATTAAATTTTGAACAGCTCTGCTTTGGCTGCAAGAGTCGAAGTAAGTTGTGAGGCTCAAATCAATTAGATCAAACCAGAAACCATAATGCTGGATTGCATGTTGCATCACTTCTTGTAAATCCCTTGTGTGTGATGCAATTTGAATCAGTGTTGGACTCCACTGATAAAATTCCTGCATAGAAGTAATTACCAAATATACGTACACTGAGTGCTAGTTGCAAAATAAAACTATTTAAAAAATACTGTGAGATGTGGGGTCTAATTTTAACATGTGAGGGATTTATCTCTATTAGACAGTGCTAAAAATAAAAAAAGACCAAAAGATTTTCTGCATTGTTGGATCCACCGATACATCTTCTGCCAATGTTTTTACAAGGATGTGTGTACATAGACAGAGTTGTTATCTGAAGTGACCTTTACAGTAACTTCAGCGTGTTTATTTTTAGAATGGGTGGCTCCAAGTGTGAACTCAGGTTTTACGTAACTGCACTCAATTTACAAAAAGACTCTTTTTCATTTATCCCTAATGGTATCTACCCATCCAGGCATTTTTCACTTGAATTTTTCTGCAACTACCCAAATACTTAAGATGAATAGCATTTTGTTTGGCAAGCTTAAAGCACTGGGAAGTACCACTTGTCTTTGTCACTTACTTTAGACGAGCCACAGACATGTCCAGAGTGGACAGTTTTCACAGATACTACTGTCTGATGAAGAAATACTCACAGTGAAAACTGTTGACTGCAATGTCTGTGGACTGTTTTAAATAACTGAGACATTGTTTCAGGAGAAACATGTTACTGTTGAGTTTTTCATATTTCTGTGCCTCGTGGTGCACAGACACAATTCTATTCACTTCCATTGTTTTCTGGTAGCCGCAAGTTTCATGGATGGAATTTCCAGTTCTCAGCTCATAAAAGTAAACTCATCAGACACCATTAGGGCAATGTGAGAGAATATTATGACTGTTTTGTACTTGGGAAGAATTGACTCATTAAACTAATCAGCCCATAGCCTATTTTTCCCCCCTATCTGCTTCCACCTTTTCTCTCTCCCTCTTTCCTGCCAAGCCTCTTTCCTTCTGGTCTTTCTGGAAACAACAGCCAAGAAGAGATTGGTCTCAAACACCACAATGCTCATTTACAGAGCCAATAGATTTGCTTGTTTTGTCTTCATGCTATGTTCCCATGAATTTCTGTCTCTCCTCTCTTTGATGTGCCCTTTTTTTTTGGTACCATTTCACTGTGGTTTTTCTTTGTCTCTCGATCTTTTGACTCACATCGCTCTTTTTCACATCACCAGATGAAATGCTGCGGATGGACTGGTCCAGGCAACTGGTCGGAGAATACTGTGATCAAGAACAGCACCCAGAAACTCTATTCATGCTCCTGTCGCAACGAGTCGCTGCCTGGCACCGACATGAAAGAAGTCGGCCTGTGTGAGCAGCTCTCCTCGGAACCACCTGTCTATGAAACGGTACAGAACACTGTGTGAAAGCAATGCTGTTCCTGCACTGAGGATGAAAATCTAAGTGAATTTACAGGTGCAGCCAACAGATGGGTATCCAGTCGGTCTCATCTTAGTATCTATGAAATATCGAGGCTGCCGTGGCAGTGAAACACGAGAGACACTCAGTCGATGTGCACAGGATCCCAATCGTTGTGATCATGCGTTCAGACAGTCTGCTGTCTGCCTTGTCGTTCAGATCCAACTATTCATCTTTCTGGGAAGGGACACTGATGCAGGTTTTCACAGTAATTTAATTTGATTTGATAAGCATCTGTGATTCATCACTGCACAGACTAGTTATCACTTAGTCACTTCAGGGTTTTGCTTTCATTCCCTTTTTTAAAATTTATTTTTAAAGTGATTCCACACAGGTAGGTTGTAAACTACATGGGCTTCCCTGAAAATCTGATTTGTGAAATTTTGGCAGGAGTATCTAAAATACTAGCAATGTGCCATTTTTGTCATGTTTTTCTACTTTTTTTTTATCTTCATCAAAATGGATCATGTTTAAAATGAGGCAACCATTATTACAAGATTCATGCTTGAAGGTGATTTAAAGGGTGCGTTCCATTTTCTGTGTCAATAATGGCAGCTATAACATTGATGAAGTGCTTGCTATTCCTTCTTTCCTTTGTAAAATAGAAACTAAAATATATTTCCTCAACACATGATTATCAACGAAGTGTCCTACTATTATTTCTGATCTCCCTGCCCTTGCTCTCTGCTGAAGGATGCTCAGCAGTGGATGCTTTCCATTGTTTTCTTGTCATTGATATTCTTATTAATATGAACAATTATAAATAAAAGCTAAATCAGTTGCATCATGAAGTGAGCTCCCTGAAGCCATGGTGTAGTTCGCATATGGCAGACATGCATTTAAAGCATTTTAGTGTTGTGTTGTCTTTTCCATTTAACTGTCATGGTGAAAGAAGGGTTTGCTACTTAGAACAGTGAGTGAGCGCTAAAATATTCTGACAAGTCTCGTGTCTGTGTGTCATACGTTTAAACTGGTCAACTTGCAATGGTGGAAGTATTTGAATCTTTACACATCTTTGTCTTTATCTCTACATATAAAAACCCTGCATTTAAAATCCTACTTAAGTGAAAGAAAAATAGTTTGATTGTATTCCACTAGATGATGATGATGATGATGATGATTATTACTAATAATAATGAGATAAATTAAGATTTTTTTTAACTTCTGAGTTGTTTAAGTGATTCACTGATCACGTGTGCAGCACAACAAAAATTTAAAGAGTAACTGTTTTGAAATAAGTAAAGGAAAGGACCTTAGAACATTAATCTATAGTAAAGTACCTTACAGTTGAAATTAAGTATAGTAACTAAGTAAAGTTACTAACAGTTACATTCTGTCTACTCGAGGCCTCAGCTGACACAATCTCCACTTTCTTCTCTCTAAAAAAACCCAAAAGGCTCTTTAGTCCCGCTGAGGTTAACATAAGTGCTAACATTTTCTCATTAAGTCCAGGCTGTGGTCATTGTTATCTGGTGATGCTGCAGCATGGCTGCATTGTTCTGACAGACCCCACACCTTTTAATCATTACATAACTTGGTCTGACGTGCGTTGTGTAACTTTGTCTGCCAGCTCGGTGTGGCACTGTGGTCAAGTGTAATCAGCCCAGTGAATACTGACAGCTGAGGCGAGCTATTTGTGCCGTGTGATTTGTTCAAACACCAGGAAAGCTCTACTGTTCTGTTGTTTGGTCTGCGTGTTTCAGAAACTTTACACTCTATCCACCAGTTTCCTCAGCTCAGCTAAGCCCTGTTATTCTTTCCCTCATTGACTCGGTCCAAAGCCAACAGTTGTGTTTTCAAACGGCTCTGTTCATGTCCGGCTGGGATCACGTAGTCATTCATCTCTCTGCATGTCAGCCTGCGACCCCCCCACCTCTATTCATGCCTTTCTTAACCTCATTCTCTCTGTTTCCCCATCTCTTGCTGTCTCCTGTAGGGCTGCATAACCAGCGTGGAGAAATGGCTCCTGGACAACTGTGGAGTTATTCTGGGAATCTGTGTCGGTGTGGCAGTTGTGGAGGTACAGTATTTATTTCTTCATGTTGAGATTTTTTGAAAGGCTGTCTGAAAAAGTACACGTTAGGAGCAAGCTTGTCCACATAATTAGAAATTCATGCACCAAATCCACGAGATGCATTTCAACACATTCAGAAACCAAGTTCAGATCACCAAGGATGCTGATGACACCGTTATCTGCCCCCTAGTAGATATTCTCTTTCAAGAACCAATGCATAGGATTTGGAAGAACTATCAACAAAAATGGAATTTACTATTCATAGGTGTGTTTTCACCTGTAATCACCTGTAACTTCCATGGCTGTGCTTACACTATCTTTAAATGAGCCCATCATATCCACAGAGGAACCTGCCATGTACGATGTTTCCACGTTAGGCCAAAATGGACAAACCAAACAGTGGCTTTAGAGAGGGCTTTTGGGGGAAAGAGAACCTCTAGTTGCCACTACATCCTACACACAGGTCCTTTCGTCATTAACATACACACAAAGTATGCAGCGACACTGGGTTTGCAGCTGTTGTCTACATGTTGGAGTAAAAGCATGTAAACCAGCAGTTCAATACTATATCCTGGTGCCATATGTAATGTACTAGAGTTCGACCGACTATCGTTGTGGCTAATTAGCAGACCCAGCAGTCAACACTTGTCCAATTATTGGTATAGCTTTTTTTGATTAATGATTCCCAATAAAACAAATTTGTTTTAAAATGCAATGCTTTGGATCCCATTCAGCCGCTTCTCTCTCTGTGTAGTCACCAATTTGTGAGCTTGACCGAACTACATCTAATTGGTTACTTGCTACAAGAGGCAGCCATTGAGCCAACCGATCACCGCTGAGGAATAAATGTTCATTTCACTAAATATGTGTAAAACATAAATTAACAAAAACGTTTTGTGTGTCTAAACTTTGGCACCAAGGCTTTCCTTTTTTTCTGTACATGTGTAGCAGTTCCTCGTATCACTTATTACTGTGGTCTCCTTGATTACTAATAATCAGTGTTGGTGTAGGACCTCGAAAAACATTTTATCAACTGATCCCTAATCTGTGCTTTAACAGACTTTGGTCTCAGTTATCATTTTTTCTGTCCATTACCGCTCATGCTCTGGTAAATATTAAGATTCAGTTAGTTAGAGGGAAACAGCTGGCCTCGTTGTGATCACAACCCTTCACAAAACCGTGTGTTGTTTCTGCACTTAAATAAAAAAAAATCATAGGGAACTACGGAGGTATCTGTCACCACCAAGAGAAGGTGTAGATCGAATATCCATCATGTTGTCTCTTAAAAAAAAAAGTACAGTTGCTTTGCTGAGACACAGTAAGAGGATGTTTTCTGGTTGCTGCATGTAGGTTTGATTCAAGGACAAAAATACTTAAGAAAGAAAAGTCAGATTAACTGGTAATTACATTCATATTTAGTGGCAGGCATACTGTGGACATTTTTGTAAAAGTTTTTCCCAAGACTCACAGAAATTGCAGTCTGTTGTAAATGTGTTTAAATTCCTCTGCTTCCACACCTGCATGTTTGAGTTGAATGCTCCAACGGTCAGTTTCAGCTCTGAAAACTAAGCTGACAACTCCATTTCTTCCAGCTCCTCGGGATGATCCTCTCCATGTGTCTGTGCAAGAGTGTCGTCCAGGAGGATTATACCAAAGTACCGAAGTACTGAGCTGAGGACAGAGCAGCTTCACATCACACACAGACGGATGGAGTCTCCCTCTCTCTCTCCTCGCCTCACATTCCTGCGAACACATACACACAAATTAAGACAGCTGTCGCCACCATTTCAGCTTCTCGTGTCCTCACAGCTGTGCAAATTTCTCACGCTCCACATGTCCCACACACACACACACACACACACAACACACACCTCTCAATCAAGCTTGACACACTTGTTGGACCTAAGTTGACTAGTCACCTTTTCTTTGTCTTATCATTCGTGTTTGTTTCAAGGAGACATTTATGATATTTTGGGGGGAAGCTGAAGAATTTTGTGGTTTGATGCTGTGCAAATGTTCATTTATATGTCGTCTTTTCTTCTCGGCTGACCTCAACGAAGCGCTTAACACAGTGGTAGAGAGAGCACTTTAGTGATACTTGGCGAGCTGGGAGCCAGAGCGTCCTCTGACTCCAAGGCAGGAAGATGAGAGGGGAACGGGAGGGTGTGGGTGGGTGCATGGTAGACCCATCTGAAGGATTAATGCCACTCTGTGATCCTGCATCTGGTATTTTTGGTGCAGAGGGTGGAGGAAAGGCCCAGGGCAGGGCTGCTGCGGTGAAGGTTTTGGCTTCTGTCATCAGCTCCATGTAGCCCCAGTGGCCCTGATATTATCCTCCGTTGACACCCACCACCACCACCACCTCCTCCTCCCTGCCGCTATCCATCATCTGTTAGCGTCTCTAAATCACGTCTCTGTCTTCCTTTTGGGTGTGTACGACTGGTAACCAGTAGCTCTTCAAAAAAGGACCAGTTCTGCATGAAGTAAGTGTGTGTATGATGTGTTGAGTGAATATTTTATTTCTTTTTTTTTTATACTCTTATGTCATCTGTTTTGTTTTTTTTTTACAATTGTGTATATATGACTTTGGTAAGGGCACTTCAGTGCTTTGTCAGCGTTTTATATGAGAAAATCTTTCACCCACATGCTGTTGTTTTAAGAGTCCTATTGTTCTTTGTTTCCTCTCTGTTGTTTATGATGTGCAGAGTATGGCTGCCACAGCAGCTTGTCAGCACTATTGTGGTCAGAATCGGAGAAATTGGAACCCTCAGTGGATCTGTCATCACTCTTAAAGCCATATTTTCGTTTCCTGAACATGGCGTGTGTTTGTGAACGTACAACCACCAACAGCTCGTGCTCCGAAACATCTTTATTTAAGCTCCTCACACCGGCCTTTATTTTCAAAAGTCTTGTTGTTACCTTCATAGCAGTTACATTGAAAACGGCAGCTGTGTTTTTTCCGTCTCTGCAGGATTGTTTGTTTTCTGAGGAGTCATTTTGCCCAGTTTATATTATCGCTAACAAGAGAAGAGAAAAACATTGATACACAGCAGCGATTGTGTTGCTGCAGAGGCTTCCAGAAACTGACTCTTCATCAACTATCTTTACAAATGTTTCCTCATCCCGTTTGTTAGCCACCTCATTATCTCAGTCCTTCCACTTCATTTCAGACACACTATTATAGCAGAATTTATGGTTAATTTAGTAGGTAGATTGCACTTTTATGTGGCTTGTAGTTTTTCATGCCATCTCACGCGAGTCTTCAAATCATGTTCATCGTTGCTGCAATTACACAAAAGGGAGGAAAGTGACCCTTAAAAACGGCAACTTCTACTTTATGATCTGCCAAATTGAAACATTAATTTAACTTGATGAAAAATGAAGGCTTTTTATTGTTTGAAATATTTTGTGTACTTTTTACAGGAAAAAAAAAAAGACGTGTGTAGTAGAAAAAAATATTTTCTGGACCTGAAAGCCATGTTTAGAAACTAATTGTTTATTTCTCTTTATTATCGAGAACTATTAATAAACCTGAACCTACAAGAGTCTGTTGACTTCTTTCATCTTGCTGATGGACGGTGGTAACATGTGGAGTGATGTTATGTCAGACTGGCTGCTGTGTGAGCTTCTTTTCTGATGTCAGGTACCAAAGGCAGCCAGAAGATGGCAGTGTATACTTAACAGTGCCGCTAGCTTAGGCAGAAATGCATTTGGATTAGATGAGCAACATAAGTGTGTTATGGTCTTTTGGGTGTATAATGAACAGTTCTTCAGCACTGCATTAATTATGTTCTAAAAACCTGCTTTCGAAAAGCTGCAGGTTTAATTATAAGCGTCATCTGAATTCTTAAATAATGTCTTATTCAACTACCTTCTACACCTCTACGCTAATTCATTCCTTCTTTTGATTATTTCCCAATTTAGTCTTTGTGTTTCCTCTTAATTGCATCTGATTACCCCGTGGCTCAACAGAACAAAGAGCTTCCACATACACAAATTTCACTGCCAGAACAGGAATTTTTTCCTCTGCACTAAATACAAAAAAGCTCCTCTTGTAAGATCTGAGCGCAGTGACTCTTATCAGCGAAAGGGAGCCTCATGATGTCACGTCACGCCAGAAGATAGTGCCTCACCGCTGCCTGCTGCTCTTCGGCAAAACACAACCACAGCAAAGACCTTGCTGCTCTAATCCGCTATTGTCAGAGGCACTTAACCTTGGTATAATGAGCTCAGCTTAGCGTTTTGTTCGGAGACTGTTTACAAGTTAGTCAACAGAGCTGCATCTCATCGGTAGGGTCTGAGGGCTTCAACATCCAAACACCAGCTTCTTGTTTAGAACACAATATTAGATATTAGACAGCTAGCAGAGGAGAAGAGATGAGAGTAATCACACGCTGGATTTAAGCTTCCAAAACTCTTCTACCAGGCAACTGACCAACGTGGCAGAAGGAGTTATGGTGGCACAAACTTGACCGCCACCATTTGACATTAGATCATAGTCACAATCAGCATTACTTACAATTAGTGCTGTACATAACATATAAGGAACTCAGTAGAGCATGAGGATTACTATCCGTGTTTAACAAGTAAATTTAATCCACTAATTTTGCAATTCAAGTAATCAGTTACTTTTCAAACAAGTAATTTGCTACTGGTTATATTTTATCCATATCTACCTGTTCCTTTTGTAGCTACCGAACAAAACAAAGCACAAAAACCTAAAGAAAATCTCTGATGCATCCACACGATTTCTGTTCCTCTTCAGGTAGCTGCACATAACAGCAGTTAAGTGGTTCATTAGTTGTTTGCAGGAAGCTATCCGAGCCCATGTTTCATTGTTTTCACAGTAGCCCACCACTCAGGTAGCCTCAGGTTCTATTGACATCCATGATTTGAATATTTAAACTTTTTTCATTGCAGATAAATTCCACAACAACTAAATCCTCTTGAATGCATAATCATTGATAAATAGCTGAAAAGCAGGGGTTTCGAATCCTGGTCCTCGAGGGCCGCAATCCTGCAAGTTTTAGACGTTCCTTCTTCCAACACACCTGATTCAAATGATCAGGATCGTTATCAGGCTTCTGCAGAGCTTGATGATGAGCTGATCATTTGAATCAGGGGTGTTGGAAGAGGGAAACATCTAAAACATGCTGGATTGTGGCCCTCAAGGACCAGAGTTTGACACTCCTGCTGTAAAGAGTTCTTTTTTTTTTTTTTTCGTCTGATGTTGCTGTTATTGGCCTGCAGAGCTACGCGTTATGGGCTGTAGACCTGACTAAGCGACGAGGTAAAGGTCAGTACGTTCACATTTAGACAAACACTACACGCACAATCTAACCAATTTGCCAGGAAGTGCAAAGGGCTGTAATTTATGGTAACGTCACCAGTTGTCTTGTAATGTAACATTACCCAACACTGCATATAATAGTGACCACAGCAACTGCAACAAAGGGAGCGGAAATCAAGGAAGGAAGGAAATGAAAAGAGAAACATGTTGAGGAGTGACTCATTTAGACTGTTTTTGTTTTTTTACATCTGAAATCAATCCTAGCTTTTCTGTAATATTGTTTTACCATTAGAAGGCGAAAACATCCACTTTGTTGCTGAAAAAAGACAATTAATCATCAAATTAATCAGCAGTTTAGTTCTTTGATCAGTTTTTTAAGCGGATATTCACAAAGATTTTCTCGTTTCTGTTGTTTTATAACTGTCAAAAATAATTAGAAATTAATTAGAATTACTTTTACATTTGGATTGTTGTTACAACAAAGCAATCTCAAGACAGATTTGAACTCTGGGAAGTCATGATGGGTACTTTTTAAACAACATTTTCTGTTGATTATAGAACTCGATTAGTTGTTTAATTATTAGAATTGATATGCAGCTATTTTGGTAATCCATTCAATTCTTTGTCACACATTATAGCAAACTGCTACTAGCGGTTGAACAAAACATTTACAGATGACACATTGTAAATTACTGTGAAAGTAATTTTCCACAACTGTTTGACATTTAGAAGACAAAACCGTTCAATTAGTCCATTAGTCAGTTAATCTGGGCAGTAATGGGCCTATTAACTGACACTAGTACTGGGGATTTAGACTTTTTTTTGTTTGCATGCAGGCTGTGGAAAATGTGGGTCTATAGCAGGATAGTGAGCTGCTGCTGCTGCTGCTGGGTTCATCAGATCACACACACACACACACACACACACACGGTGCAGGTCAAACACAACGAGGAAAGAAAGCTTCCTCTGTTTTTTTCCACATAACTGTCAGTCAGCGAGCGCAGGGCAGAGGAAGTGGGACAGATGATGATCCCGCTGAGACTGAATGAAATAAAAGAAAGAATAATGAAGATGTCAAGTCCATGTGTTCAGTAAGCGCTGAGTGATTTAACTTTAACTTTAGGAACTGAGACGCACATCTCCTGAGAACGTTTGTTTTCCTTTTGCGCTGCTACAGTCTTTTGTTAAAATGGAACTCTACATTTACACCGCTGCTTTCGCCTCATGCATGCAAATAAGATGCGCGTTGTACCGGCATGTTTTCTCTGTTGCTATTTGTAACACAAAATGGGTTTTCAGCGAGCTCTGTTTGTGTTCAGACGATGGTGGGGGTCTCTCTGCAGCTGCCCCCGCTGCCTGCTGCGCCCCCTCTTCCCAGCATCCTGTTCACACTGTCATGGACATGTTCAGGCAGCGACCCCCACATGCCCTCCAGTCACCCCGACCTGGACCACCACCTCCACCTGCAGACTGACCCCCTCACTCCCCCCTGCCCGGTCCCTTCCTCACTGTCTTTTTCCTGTTTTTAATCTCTCTAAGCGATCGTACATAAACTGCTCGGTCTGTTCCGCATGTCCGCCTGACAGATATGTGTAATAACATAACTACCCGGGTCCCTCCCCTGTCTGCTGCACAACACTTTTAAGCCTGAGGAGCTCTAATCAGAAATGAGCAGTGTGAGTCACGGTGCCCCCCCGTACGAGATGGAGAAGAGGATCAGCCGAGTTCCATTAGCTGTTTAAATTGTTTCTCTGATAGGCTGAGAGGCGGCAAGTGGCTGCAGGTCAGTGGGTGTCCTCCGCCTCATTTCCCACCCAGCAGCCAGTAGAATCCAGGAGAATGATAGACTGACTCAGAGCCTCCTTCCTTTCTCTCTCATCATCTCTTTATACCTCTCTCTTTCCCCTCGTGGGCATATCTGGTATGATAAGGGCAAGCTCTCCTCTCCATGTGGCCTCTTTGGCCCGCGGAGAGTAAAACCAGCTGAAATCATTCTGGCACGACTCCACTGCCTCGCCAAACTCTGGTGAACATCAGTCTGTGAAAACACATGGTTTCCACTCGAGTCCAGTGAGATGGTGCAGGAGATGGGAGGGAGACTCTTGGCACCGAGAGAGTACGAAGCTGCATACCACAGTCATCTGCCCTGTTTTATATATTCCAAAAACGTACCACATAACGGCAGTTTGCAGGTGGTGGAGAGCAGCTCGGTTCATTTGCATAAGTACAGTTTTAAGCACTTCTACTTTACTTACAAGTGTTTCCATTTGATGCTGCTTTATACTTCTAATTTACTGCAGTTTAGGGGAATAACTGTGTGCTTTTCACTCCAAATTACATTTCTCTGACAGCTTTTGTTTGTAGTTACCATGCATATTAAGATTTTTACATCAAAACTTGATCATCCTATAAAATATGATGCATTATAGTAATATAAGGAAGACAACCAGCTTCCAACTTTTTATTCGATTCAACTTTTGCATATTTAAATGAAACTTTTTGATCATTTTAGACACAACTAGCTAGCCGCTCTGCAAGGTGGTACAGTTGGTAGCACTGTTGCCTCGCAGCAAGAAGGTTGCCGGTTTGCATCCCGGTGGGGGCACCGGAATATTTCTGCGTGGAGTTTGCATGTTCTCCCCGTGCAGCGTGGGTTCTCTCCGGGTTCTCCGGCTTCCTCCCACACAGTCCAAAAACATGTTGAGGTTAATCAGTGACTCTAAATTGTCCGTAGGTGTGAATGTGAGTGTGCTTGGTTGTCTGTCTCTAAGTGTAGCCCTGTGATAGACTGGTGACCTGTCCAGGGTGTCCCCTGCCTTCGCCCTAAGTCGGCTGGGATAGGCTCCAGCCCCCCCGCGACCCTGATGAGGATTAAGCGTTGTATAGATAATGGATGGATGGATAGCTAGCCGCTGTGGTCACATAGACTGAAGTGTATGTTTGCTGCTGCTGCTGCTGATAATCTTTCGGTGAGACACTGTAAGGGAAAACATGTTTTTTTTGTTTTTAATGCACTAGTCAGTTTTGAGATTTTGTCTCCCTAACATGCCTTCTCTCAGACTAGTGAAAAGAAACCATCCAAAGCATGCATTTAGTCGTTTATTTTACTACACTTTGTGTATTTGCGTCAGGAGATTTCAATTCACACATCTTTTTTCTCAGATATGTCTACTTCAGCTGCACTTATGTCCACCAACCCGTCCAGTTTTGCTCTCATCTATATTCTGAAGGTTTCCACCCAGAGGTTTCTTCATA